TCCAGTGATTAACCATGGACAGCAGCCATCTCCTCCCATAGGAACCTCCCTGCCACCCCCAACCTAGGCCGCCACCCTCTCCAAGATGGTGGAGCAGGCTTCCTCCTGGCCCCATGGACTCTGTTATCCCAACAGCCCCTCCTAGCCTGTCCACTGCACCACCCATCGCCTCTTACCCCATCATGAGCCTCGCTTTCTAGGTTCCAGGTGCACAGAACACCGTCCCCTCCTCCATCCCATCCTAGGGCTTTGCCTGTGCTACTCTCTCTTCCAGGTATATGTCCTCACCTCCTTCCATCTGAGCCACTCCTCACTTTCCTTCAGCCATCACTTCCTCTGAGAAGCCTTCCTCACTCACTGGCCACATCCATCCCGGGGTTTCTCCTTATACTACTTACTGGGACCTCAACAAACTAAGAGTGCGGTGAGCTGTCAAAGGCTCATCCCGCCACTTGAGGGCTCTGTGGCCTGGGCCCCCAACTGCTGAGCCTGGCCCCAGGCTGGTGCTCTGTAATGCTGGCTGAATGGACACATAGTGGAGATGAGCCTGCACGTCGTCTGCAGTTCCCCACGTATTGGCTGTCTGAGGCACAAATGCTGAACTCATGTCTGTGCCAGGGTGGTCACAGGTACCACATGGGGGTGGGGCACAGGCAATGTTCTGTATCCTAACCTGATGGGGGCCACACAGGTGTATATATAGATCAAAATCCATCATCAGTAACATGTGTGTGTTGTAGCTCAATTTTTTAAACACTAAAAAAAGAAGGCATTTTCTTCAAAAGTCAAGTTTCTCTTTTTAGGAATCTTATCTCTCACATATTGATGCACAATAAACAAATGAATCAGAAATTCTTTTCTCTTGAAATAACTAATCATTGGCTGCTTCGGAGACCACTGCAGGCTGCTCGGGCAGAGTCCACTGGCCCCTGAGCTCTGCTGGTGCAGCAGCTGAGAGGGGACATGCAGCAGGGCAGAGGATGGTCAGGACAGGACGTGACTCTAGCTGCCAGGAAAGGTCCAAGGTGAGAGCCCTTAAGCCTAACACTGCACCAAAGACTGGGTTTCCATTCCCAGTTCTTCCAGGACTTGCTATGTGACCCAGCCAGGGGTTTCCTGTTGGTAATATATGTGTGCTGGCCTATGTGTGTGACCTTACGTCCTACATTCCAGACATCTGCCCTCTGTACACAGCCTCCCATTCTCCAGCTGGTGTCCCCTCTTCTCTAAAACTTCCACGGAGGTGGTCTCACCAAAAGCAGTGTAAGGAGGGAAAACTGAGTGTCCTAACACCTCAGTGCAGGGCATGGGGAGTTGGTGGTGGCCTGGGTGCAACACCCCAAGGGACCAGTTCCTTGGGCTTGCCCCCATTTCTTTTCCTCACAGACATGTCTGTGGGTTCAATCTGAGTGGCTGATGTGCTCACTCACACAAGGTGTGTTTAGGAAGCAAGGTGCAATATCAAGGTCACTGCTGGGGGTGATTCAATTCATTATCCCAGGTCCCCTCCCAGAATGAATCACCTGATTGACTGGGGGGATGGTCAGGAGTGGCCCCTGAAGAAGAGAGGTGCCTCACCTGCACTCTGGGCTGCACTATGACTGGATGGGTTCTAGCAGCAGAGAAATGAAAGTGGGGAAGGGGGAAAGTGCGAGATGTGGGTGGGTGCTGGTAAGTCAGAGCCAAAGCCAGAGGAGGGCTGAGGAGACAAAAGACCCTGGTGCCTTGGCTTTCACACAGTAATGACATAACACCAGAAAGCATGATAGCTCTTCCCTGTCTAGGGGCACTGAAAGACTTCCTTGGACCAGGAAGTGTGGGACCCAGAGATTGCCAGAAGCCTGGTGACCTAGTGGTCATGAGTTACCAAATTTCTGTCTGGCAGGGCCTGTCTACAGAGCTGCCACCATGTTTGTTCACTTACAGTAATCAGTGGGAGGAGGCGGCACTCACAGCTCCCAGAGCCAGGCACACAGGAAGTGCTCAATACATGCTTGTTACATGACTAGAATATAAAAATACATTGTTCAACTTCAGGAAAGTAGGCAGACATGGAAACCAAGGCACAGAGAAACAATTGCTTCTCTTAAAAGGGGTGGGGCTAGACCTGCTCAATCTGCTCACTTCTGTCCACCTCATAGACTCTTGCCTTGATCAGGCTCCAGCATCTCCTGCATCACCTCATGTAGAACCCTCCTGATGACATCTTAGCAGTATCCCTGCTATCACAGCTCCTTCCCATGACACCTCACACTCTGCTCTTCACACAGAAGTTGGGTAATCTTAGAATGAAGGGGATCTGACTTCCGGCCAAGATGGAGGCATAGGTAGATATACTTTGCTTCTTCGCACAACCAAAGAAGGACAACAGCAAATTTAAAAACAAACAAAAAAACCCCCCAGAACTGCCAGAAAATTGAACTGTATGGAAGTATGACAACAAGGAGTTAAAGACTGGTAGGAGGAGTGTGAATGAGCAGCCAGGGAGAAGAGGATGCCCAGCAAAGCAGGGGACTGGGCAAGCAAAGCAGTGGCTGGCAGATAGGGCAGTCCCATATTCACCTGCAGATAAGTCAGAAGGAACAATTGGGGAATGAGGCAGACTGCAAAACCCAAGGTTCCAGCATGGGAAACTAAAGCTCCAAAACCTCTAACTGTAAAAACTTGTGGGGGTTGCGGCAGCAGGAGGAACTCCCAAACTTACAGGAGAGTTCATTGGAGAGATCCATGGGGTCCTAAAGTGCGCATAAACCCACCCATTTGGGATTCAGTACCAAAAGGGTTCATTTTGCTTGTGGGTAGCAAGGGAAGTGACTGAAAGTGGAAAGAGAGCCAAGCAAATGTAACTGTTCCCTCTCTGACCCCAACCCCCTACATGCAGTGCCACAGCACAGTGACCTGGGTTGCCCCACCCTGGTGAATACTTAAGGCTCCACTCCTTACAGTGTAACAGGCTTGCAGAGACAAAGGAATATGGTCCAAATGAAAGAACAGATCAAAGCTCCAAAAATAGAACTAAGCAATGATAGTCAACCTATCAGATGCACAGCTCAAAACACTGGTAATCAGGATGCTCACAGAAATGGTTGAAGATAGACGCAAAAGAGAGGAGAAAGTGAAGGCTATGCAAAGTGAAATGAAGCAAAATATAAAGGGAACCAACAGTGAAGGGAAGGAAACCGGCACTCAAATCAAGGATTTTGAACAGAAGGAAGAAATAAACATTCAACTGCAACAGAACGAAGAAACAAGAATTCAAAAACAAATGAGGAGAGTCTTAGGGACCTCTGGGACAACTTTAAACATTCCAACATCAGAATCATATGGGTGCCAGATAAAGAATAAGAAGACCAAAAGATTTAAAAATTATTTGCAAAAATAATGAAGGAAAACTTCCCCAATCTGGTCAAGGAAATAGACTTCCAGGAAGTCCAGGAAGCTCAGAGAGTCTCAAAGAAATTGGACCTAAGGAGGGACACATCAAGACACATCATAATTAAATTACCCAAGATTAAAGATAAGGAGAGAATCTTAAAAGCAGCAAGAGAAAAGGAGACAATTATTTGCAAAGGAGTTCCCATAAGACTATCAGCTGATTTCTCCAAAGAAACCTTGCAGGCAAGAATGGGCTGGAAAGAAGTATTCAAAGTAATGAAAGGCAAGGACCTACATTCAATATAACTCTATCCAGCAAAGCTATCATTAGAATGGAAGAGCAGATAAAGTGCTTCCAAGATAAGGCAAAGTTAAAGGAGTTCATCATCACCAAACCCTTATTATATGAAATGTTAAAGGGACTTATCTAAGAAAAAGAAGATCAAAACTATGAACATTAAAATGACAACAAACTTACAACTATCAACAACTGAAACTAAAAAACAAAAAACAAACTAAGGAAACAACTAGAACAGGAAGAGAATCACAGAAATGGAGATCACATAGAGGGTTATCAGCGGGGAGGGGGTGAGGGGAAAATGTGGGAAAAGGTACAGGAAATAAGAAGCATAAATTGTAGGCACAAAATAGACAGGAGGAGGTTAAGAATAGTATAGGAAGCCAAAGAACTTATATGTATGACTCATGGATATGAAATAAGGGGGGAAATGCTGATGGGAGAGGGGATGCAGGGAGGAGGGGGATAAAGGGAAGAAAAAAGTATGACAACTGTAATAACATAGTCAATAAAATATACTTAAAAAAAAAGAATAAAGGGGATCCCAGAACCAGATGGAGGATCATCTTGGGCCTTACCAAGTAAATTCACACACAAGACACCATTAACAGATTGAATTTTCTCCTTCAAGTCAAGCCAGGCCTGAGTGGGAGAATGCCTATGAAATATCCTTACCAAAAAATCCAAACCTAAATCTGCTCACACATCTAGATCCACCCACCAATTTAGAGGACAAAGGTCAGAGGAACACGTGAAAGAACACCCAGGTACCCCACCGACAGAATCCAGGCCATGGGAATCTCCACTCATTTCCTGAACAACAAATTTAAGTGAAAAGTAAACAAGACAGGCAGAGATGGAGGGCAATCTATAGATTACAAGAGGACAATTTAGATCCTGGGAATTCAAAAGGCCCTGTGGTTAAAAACTCTTTCAGATATACATACGGAAAAGTTGAGAGGAAATAAAGGATATTGGGAATTTTGTTTAAAGTAACACCAGGGATTAGGGGGTCAGATGAAACGGAATTTTACATGAGGTAATGGGAATAGAGTTGCATAATCTCTTCTAGCTCATTTTGTACATGTTTCAAATTTTCCATAACAAAAGGGGTTTTTGTCTGTTTTAAATCTCAAATATCCCTACTAATGGAGGAGAGAGAGAAACTAGGGCAGGAGAACTTCCTAGGTGAAGAGCCAGGTCCAGGTTTGAGGGATTTCAAACCATCCCAAAGAAGTTTGCAGGGCTCTGCAAATGCTTGCTATCAGCTTCCTCTTTCAAGTCCACCTTCCACGAGTTTTCAAAATCTCAATTAAAGAGCACCCACCTTACACCCAGACTGGGCAGTTTGTGGCCAGTGCAGCCCATGTGCTGTTTTTGATCATCTGTGAAAGATACAGAATTTAAAGTCGGAGTTTAGAAAATTTTGCAGCAACTTGAAAGTGACTATACTGTTTAATTGCAATAAGATAATGGGCTTAAATTTTGTGTCTACTTTATTTTTTTAATCCTCACCTGAGGATATGTTTATTTGATTTTTTTAGGGAGAGGAAGTTGGGGGTGGGGAGAGAGAGAGAAACACATCTATGTAAAGGAGAAACATTGATCAATTGCTTCCCATATGCATCCCAACCAGGAATCAAACCCGCAACCTAGGTATGTACCCTGATTGGGGATCAAACCCACAACCTTTTGGTTCATGGGATGATGCTCCAGCTGAGCCACCCAGCCAGGAATATGTGTCTACATTTTAATTAAACAACTTTTATTGGGTTTTTTAACTGACCTGTGAGAGATTAAAATATAAAAACCAAACAAATGACTAATCCTTCACTACAGAGAGTCTGGGAGGCACTGTTATGGACTGGACATGGATCTCCTGGAGACCAAAACCCACCTGCTTAGGTGTCATGCCAAAGAGCCCAGGTCAAATCCTCCCTTCCCACTGTCTGCAGGTGAGACACCAGCACTGCCTATAAACACAGCACTGACTAGATGCTGCCAAGCCTGCCTGATTTTAATCCATGTTCCCTCTGCACCACCACAGGACCAGAGCGACACTCCATCAATGGCCAGCAAGGCCAGGAGGTGCTGAGCACCCACTTGTCAAGGCATCATCGCCAGCCATTGTGTGACGGTGCCACCAGATCACTTCCAGGAGCAGCCTAGTGGGCAACGTGCACACTTTTGTTTATAAACCACTGGCACAGTGGCAAGATGTTAGTTAGCCAGCCAACTTGTACATACTTCTGGATGGGTTTAACTACAGTGGGACCTAAGACTGCAAAGTGAGCTACTTTAAAAAAACCCCACTGCTTCCTTGTTTCAACTACCAATTACTCTCTCACTGAACTAAAGTGCAGGAATCAATTAAGCATGGGAGCTCCTGTAAGACACCAACCAGCACCCATGGAACCCTGGTTTCAAGAATGTGCTCATGATAATAGGATCACTGTTCTTACTGACATGCAAAAAGCAAACAAACAAACAAAAAATCACAGCATGCTCTCCTTCCAGGGAGCATGCCCACACTTTTCTCCCCTCTAAGGCATGTCTCTCCTAAACTCTAAGGGTCCCCACAAGACTTGCATCCAGGGGAGCAATGGGCAGCCACAGCTCATCCTGGGCTAACCCCTTGAACCTGTCTCCAAGGCTCCCTTTTCTCAACTTCTCAGTGAGCTAACAGAAGCCCCAACTTGGCTCACTTTTGTCACTGTGACTTTTACTTTCCAGTGAGCCAAAGTGTAAGTGATACACAGATCCAGATGACTGCTGCTACAAAGGTCAGTACTCAAGAGGCAGGTGCTGATGTAAAGAAAAGCAGTTCATTTTCAGGTGCTTGCCACCTGGAAGACGGGAGACTAATGTCTCAAAGCCCATCCTCTGGGAAGATGGGGGACTCACATCTCAAAGCACATCTCCATATCTCAGTGGAGGCAGAGGTTTTTATAAAGAGGGAAACAGAACAAAAAGATAGAGAGAGTTGAAAATGTCTCTACGTGCAGACTAGCACAGTCCATTCTAATAAGGCAAGTGGTGATTTGATGTAGATCATCCTGGTTTAGTCATCTTGGATTCACATCTTGGCTCCATGGTTGAAGGCCAACAAATCTCCTGGAGCTGGGATGCCTGAAGGTTGGAGTCTGTATCTTTTGAAGTTAGTTCCTAGGATTCTTATATAAACATGCTGTTTATCTATAAGCTACATATTAGAGTCAGCACTTAAAGAAACAATGTCAAAAGAATGGTGGGGTGAGTTACAATTTCCCACTGTTACAAATGCATACTGTCATTTTTATCTATTTCAATGGAATTTAGATGTGTGTAGCCAAAACATTTCAGAAAACTAAAAAAATTCAGGATCTATACTAGTTCATATCTGAAAAATAAAATATTACAGATAATTCACTGAATTAGTGTCTAATTTCTATAACTGTGTATAATAGAGTCTACTGAAATACAATTTTGCTCCCCCTAAAATCACCCTCATTTTTATCAAAGAGCCAAATCAAGACCAATTCATTTACTGTATTAAGTCCAGTTTCAATTGGCCCAATTATTTGCATGAACACAAGAATAGCAATTGATCATATAATTTTTCTTAAATCTACTTTGCTGGAATGTGATAAGGAATTTTCTGATTGAACTTTAATTAGCCCGACAGGGTGGAGAAGCCAAACCACCTTGTTGTCATTAGTCTTTGCCTGCAATACCTCCAATTTTGGGTAAACTACTCAAGTTCTCGAGGCCCCCCAAATGTCTTGATGTTCTTCCTTGCCATCTCCCAGGAAAGCAACCTTCACTCCTTACCTGGAAAGACTGCCATGAACTGTATGTATAAGCAACGTACCAGGCATTTCTTCAAGGGGCTTTTATTGGTTCTAAAGTAAATCCCTATCCCTTAAAGCTTTTCGCTGCAATCCAGAATCTAGACATGTCTCTTTCAGACATGACATTCCAGTCGAAGTCTTGGTTAATAAATTCACAATAGGAACTAGAAAAAATCAGATTCCTAATGATTTCATGAAAGCAAATATATTGCCATGAAAATAATAATGCTCACTCATTAAGAGTTTCCAAATTCTGGAGAGATCAAGTAGGGAGAAAAATATAAATGCTTCAATATTGCTAAAATTTACCAAATTGCTCTATGAAACAAACAAGTTTTTTTAATCAGCAATATTTTGAACAAAGTCACATGAACAATAATTATCCTCAGTTTATTCAGTCCCACAATCAATTCTTATTTATCCCAATTATCCACCAACATCCCTATGAATCCAATTATTCCCCAGAGCACAAAAAATCCCCATCTATTTCAAAGGTATGATCTGAAAATTTATTTTGAGAAACTTATATTTTAGAATAAGTTAAAGTCTTTTCCACAGATTTTATTGAAGATGTAACATTTTTGCAAATGCATCAGAGTAAAACAATGTCTCTTAATGATGAAAACATATTTAAAATTACATGATTATACATCTGATTATAATGTAATTGACAAACAAATTTGCTTTTTTGGAACAACACTTTAAGATATCAATCAAAATTAGAAATGAAAATATATCAGACTAAGAAATCAATGAATTTGTTTCCCACTGTCAATGGTACCTGGGGTTTTCTGTTGGGAAATAACAATTGGTTTTTCAAAAATCAAAGGGAGCTTTTGGCTTTTTCATTTGTCATTAAAATGATCACTTTGCTTTACCATCTATCTATGAGTCTTTCCTTTTTCTTTCTTTCCCATTTGCATTTCCTTTCTTGAGTTTCCTTCTCCTAATGTCCTTCCTTCCTGTGTGTACCTTTTCTTTATTCTTTCTCACCTTTTTTCACTTCCTCAATTCCTTCTGTTTGTGATTCTTCCCTCTACGCAATCCCTCTTTAAATTACACAGATCTTTTGCAACTTACACAGCTCCTCTTTGACTTACATAGATCCTCTGCTATTTACATAAGCCCTCTACAACTTACACAATCCTCTGCAACTTTCCTAGTCCCCTTTCATTTGCCCTTTAAACTCATCCAGAAATGACCAAGTTTAGAACAACACTTTTGATTCCATTTCCCTCAAAATATATTACCATAATTTACACCTTTTATTACCAAAACCATATATATTTTCCCAACTTAATTATAATTTTCACTTTCTAGTGACAACTAAAAGTAAGTAATCAGAATTCTTCTAGATTGACAAATTTATGAATACATTTTATAACTTTCAGAAACAGGTTTTTCCCCATTGGCAAGTACACTCATATTTTTATTCTTGGTGATTACTGGATTCCTTTAGAGTAGTGAGCCATTAAATTATATGGTAGCCTTGACAACTTTTAGGAGGCTAGAGAAGAGGTAGGGAGAGACCAGGGTTGGTATAGCTTGAGCTACTTAAGTTTAAAACTGCCCATTTTTTTCCTTTTCCTTTTCTTTCTGCGTTTCACTGTCTGAGAGGGGAGGGGTATCTTTTCCTCTCTTTAAATCATCAATTTAAACCCTTTCTGAGTAGAATCCTTATGATGTAACATTAAAACTCGTACATTAGAGATGTTATCCCACTTACCATACCAGACCTTTGGCAAAGTAATTTGTGATTGAGAACAAGTTATCCCTTTCAAAACAGAAACAAAAACAAAATCGAAAGCAAAATTTTTTTTTAAAAAGTGCTCTCAAACTACAACAGCCCACCAACAGCCCATTTCCTTTCATCAGCAAAGCATTTAAAAGCAGCTGATACCTTTAGAGGGAGAACAGGAAGAGTCCCCAAGATAAAGAACTCTCAGCAGCTGCTAGGAGATTCCTGAAATCCCTGCCATGGGGTCAGCCTACCACAAGCAGCTGAGGACCCCAGCCTGTGCTCTCCAGGCCTTCCAGGGGGTCTACCTAGTCCCATCTGGGTTGCCAAAAACTAACCCAAATGGAGGTGCAGTTGCCTGCCCCTACAAAAGACAATACTCAAGAGACGGGTGCTGACATAAAGGAAAGTGGTTTATTTTCAGGGGCTGGCTACCTGGAAGATGGGGGACTCACGTCTCAAAGCCCATCTCCACATCTCAGTGGAGGCAGAGTTTTTTATAAGGAGGGAAAAGGGAACAGAGAAAAGAGATCAAGGGAGGGGACTGAAAAGTTCTCTTTGTGCAGACTAGCACAGTCCATTCCGATAAGGCAAGTGATGATTGATGTAGATCATCCTGGTTTAGTCATCCTGGATTCATGTCACCCTTGATCCATGGTTGAAGGTTAGCAAATCTCCTGGAGCTGGGATGCCTGAAGGTTGGAGTCTGTATCTTTTAAAGTTAGTTTGCAGGACTCTCATACAAACATGTTGTTTATCTATAAGCTACATATTAGTCAGAGTCAGCACCTAAAGAAACAATGTCAAAAGAATGGTGGGGTGGATTACAATTTCCCACCCTTATAAAAGCAGCCCTGCCTAGGCTCTCTACTATTACTTCTTCTATCCTAAGCCCTTCCTTGTTTCACTGTCCCCAACTTCAATAAACATACTCTCAAAATAAAAAAAAAATCACAAATGTGAACTTATAAGATAAACACACTAATATGCAACCTTTGCCTGCATGCGTTTTATTTATTGCGGTTCCACATTCAAGTTTCACTACATTAAAAAAAGTGAAAGGAGCTGGTGGCCAAGATCCTTTGGGCTGCAGTTCTAACTTTGCCACCATTCATGGTTTAGCAACTCTGGGCCTCAGTTTCCTCATCTATAAAATGGGAACAGAGCCCCCCATTTCACATTTTTGTTAGGAGAGCAAAAGCAAATAGCTAAAACACACTTCAAAGAATTAAAGGTGCAAAGCCAAAAGTATATGATGATCCATTTCCTCCTCCATTAAGTGTGGACAGTGATGCTGCAACTATGATCAATACTATTACAAATGTCAGATTAATTATCACTGATCAAAAAATAGATCCCCAGTTCTGCTATGTGTGCCCAACAGGGTGCTCCCTGCTTCACCCCTTGAAGCCTCCAGGAATCCTTCCTACAGCCCTGTGAGGCCAACTTTATCACCCCACATAAAGATGGGGCTTTGAGAGAACAACAGCAGCTGCCGCCTCGCATTCTGGACTTTCTCTGAGACTTCAATGTGATAACACATGTGAAAACCAATGCACGTACACATGGGTTGTGACTTCATAGCAGGAGCAGTAGTATTAAAGTGGAGATAAGGCTACAGCCTGTGCCTGTGTGTTTTTCTGGGCCAGTCCCTGCTTACCAGAGCAGAGGAAATGTTTGCAGTGTGGCCCTGCTGGGAACAGTGGGTGCAAGCACCTCAGTGTGTCTTCAGGGTCCTTGGCTCAAAGCAGGCATGACTGTTGACTCTGTGAGGCTCAACAAGCTGGAGCAGAATATGGTTTGGGGAAGTACTGGAGGCAGGCCACTGGGGCCCTGGAAGGCAGCCAGTTTTCACCAGGAGTGGCTTGCTCTTCATCGGACAATGAGTCCACTGTTAACTTGCGGGGCCTTGATTAATATTTACAAAGGGAACGAAGTGGAAAATTCCACCTGCATGGGTGCAGGTAGGGCCTGGGACATGTCAACAACCCCAATGGCCTTGTTCTCCCAGTATGGATCTGGCAGAGGTACAAAGGTCTGATAACAGTGACAGAACCTAAGCGTCACTGCACTTGGGTCTAAATGAATTTCTCTATTTGCATCATAGAGATATTTGTTTTTTATTGTCCTGCCTCCCCTGCCCCTAAATTTACAGAGCACCTTTAAATCTTCCGATTTTCCTCCTATCCCTTCAGGATCACCCAACAGCCTTGACAGTCCACTAGGGCTGATGTCAAACCTGTGTTACAGATGAGGGTGACTTAGGCTGCAAGACACCAAGAGCCTCCCCCAAGGCTGCAGCTGGTGAGTAGCACAGCCAGGGGATGTGGAACCCTGGGGTCTCGACCTCCCAACTGTGACACAGAGTCTGTTCTGGGCAGTCTGGGGTTAGGGGCCATGCGTACTGGACAGAATGCTCTTCCAGCTCCAGTAGAGGCCCTGGTCTTCACCCACTAAGGAGGGCAAGGAGCAAGCACACACCAGCTCTCCCAGACGGGCAGGCTTAGGTGCTTACCTTTGAGGAAAATATGCATTCACTCATCCATTCAAGCATTTAACAACTGCCTACGAAATACCCAACATGAAGTCACACTGCACGGTGGCTTGTTCAGACACACACACCTGGAAGAATCCATGATTGAAGGGGAAAGGTCAGAGTATCTCCAAAGGTTGCTTCCTTTAAAGACTTGAGTCACCTCATTTAGCCATTGGCGATACACTCTCATGGGCCCATTTTATAAAACAGGAAAATGAGGCTCTGAGAAGGGTAGTGACATGCCCAAGGTGACAGAGAGAGAGAAGGCTGAGACCTCCTGACCTGCAGTGGCCCTGCCTCCAATTTATAAAGCCACAGCATTACTGAGCTTGGGCATTCAAACAAATGGTGTCCCTTCTGGCAGGCAACCTCAGAGGCTGCACATTTAATCAACAAGGACCTTTCACAGAGAAACACTTTTTGGAGCGACCTTCTGAGCAGTGTGGAACCTCCTGAGAAGACAGGCAGGCACACCTGGTTTGCCCACAGAGAACACCAGGTGTGGTTTCAGGGCTCACCTCTCAACCCCCGACTGTATTCCTGTCTACAGAACTGGCCATGGGCATCATCTCCAACCAACAGAGGGTCAAGGCCAGAGTAGTGTCATCTCTCTGGTCCACACCCCTCAAGCTTGGACCCAGGGCAGTGGGTGGGAGTACTCACTCAGTCTATGTTCCTCGTCAATGCCCAGCACCCCTCTGCCTCTGCCTATCCACAAGCTCAGCAACTTCTACATCACCCTCATGTCACACTTTTTCTCTCCTTTGCCTAGAGCTTCTTCCCCTAAAGAATCTCCGCCTCACCCTTTGTTAAAACAAAGCCACTCTGACCATACTCCCATATCTGAACCCACTTACTCCCACGCCCCGCCTTATCTCCTCTTGCCAAACCACACCTGATTGCCAGTGACCTAAGCCAGGGGGCCCCCCTCAGGCCAGATGCCGCCATTGTGGAGCAGGGCCTCTGTATGTTAAGAGGTCTCAGCCTCCTCTCTCTGTGACGTCTGCCCCACATGACCCCACAGATTGCCCCGACATGCCCCATGGAGCCCCTCCAAGCCCTCACCTCCACAAAGCTCTCTTCCCCCAGGGCCCTAGCCTCCTCCTCTCTCTACTTCCTCCGATAAACATCTGCCTCACAAATCCTATCTCCTGGCTTGACCTCTGCATCCCTGGTTGTCTCCAAAGCCCTTGCAGGCAACAGTCCCAAGTTCCCCCAGAAGGGCCTGCTTTGGCACACAGCTGAGAATCCAAGACAGCTCGGAGCCTGGCCTGCTGCTGGGACTCAGCTACGTGAAGTAGTCTGGTTAGCAGCTACCTCCCTGCAGGTCTCAGAGAGGCTGGCGTCCTAATGTCCTGCACAGCCAACCAGGCAGCCTTTCTAAAACTAAAAATTGACTACCACCTAAACCTCTGCTGTGGTTCCTTGGCACTATGGGACAAAGTTCATGATCTCAAGCTGGCAGTGGAGGCTGTTTCCATCCTTACTTCCCCAGCGGGGCAGGCACATGTGCCCTTCAGTGTACTCTCACTGCACTCATCCTCAGTCCAAGGGAGCCCATGAGCCAACAACCCATGTGTTGTTGACCTTTGCACACCAGTACTGGCACCCTGCGGGTGTTTGCTAAGAAGAAAGACAACTATTCGAACCAGAGATGATCTCAGGAACCACAGGACTCAAAGCTCCTCAGAAAGGTTGAGCAAGGGACCCAGGGTCACCCAGCCCCAGGCAAGGGTAAGGTAACAACCCCACCCGAACCATTCTCTTTGGTCAGGAAACAGATCAGTCCTCTGGAAATGTCACCTAGGACCCCATAAGTATGCATGTCAGAGCCCCCAGCAGACCTTGAGGCTGGGCCTGTCCACGCAGGCCCAAATCTGAATCTGATAGGTGGGCCAGGCCTGGCACACAGTAGGGCTACAGGAAAAACAGAAGCCTTACTAAGTCAAACTCTCATCAGTTACATCCATAAGACCCACATCCTTCTCTAGGTCATGGTCTTCTCATCTGTAGAATGGCGCTAATTCAGCTTCTAAGGTTAAGTGATCTTGACTGGTCAACCTACCTTGTCCTTTGCAAACAGCGGGCGGAAGCAACACAATTCCAAGCTCTGTGATCTGTGATCCACTGTTAGCCCAGCTGAAATTTGTTACCCTTTCCCCAAACCACACTGTATCTCAAAAATAAAAATTATAAAAAACCAACTCCCCTCCACCTATGTCGGAATTACCAGGGAGGGCTTGTTAAATGCAGATCTCAGACCCTGCCCCACCTGAGTTGGTTGGTAGGCACCGCTGAACAGGGGCCCAAAATTTGCATTTATGGCAACGCTGAGAAATCCTGGGCACACTGAAACTGGAGAACCAAAGTTCCAAACGAGACCAATCCTCTAGAAATGTCACCTGGAATCCCATATATGCGTGCCAGAACCCCCATCTGATCATGAGGCTGGACCCACTCCATGCAGGACCAAAGCCGAACCCAGAAGATGGGCCAGAACTGGCACATAGTAGGACAGCAGCAAAAATAGCCTTGGGAGACCCAAGTACTAGTGTCAGGCCTCATTTTGAGGAAATCTACATTTACCAGAAAAACCTGGGAGGGAAGGGAGGATTTATGTTACCCTAAATGACATATAACTTAGTTCCTGCAAAGAACTACCTCCAGGAAGAACTCAATGAGGTTGTGACTGCCCCGTCCCACCCCTTTTGCTCCAGGAGGGGCTCGCTCTTGCATAAAGTGGTGTCCCAGTCTCAGCTTCCAGCCCGGGTGTTCCCGGCTCACCAAACCTCCAGCCTGAGGCCGCCCGGGGCTGCGGCCAGAGACATGCGGGGCAGGGGCAGGGGCAGGGGCAGGGGCAGGGCCAAGGGCGGGGGCAGGGCCCGGGCGGAGCCGCTACGGGCCGGGTCGGCCGGGGGTCGTGCCGCATATCCCGCTACTTACCCTGGGCAGTTGGGGACGAATGCTGGGACAGTGCGGTGTGGCGGAGCGCGAGGAGCAGAGGCTGAGCAGGAGCCCGCCCCCTGCCCCGCTACACTTTAACTGTCGGCGCCGGCGCACCGCGCGCTCTCCGCGACTAGGAGAGGAACCGCGGTCGTCTTGGACTCCGTAAGCTCGGGGCGGAGACCCGAGCGCCAGGCTAGCTGGCTGGCTGGCTCGGGCGGGCGGGGCGCGCGCAGCTCAAGGCGTGAATGCAATCGTGCACCTGGCTCTATGCTTGCACGTGTGCACGGGATTGACACGCGCTGCTAGTTGCTGCGCGTGCTCTGCCCGCGAAGGGTCCTGAGCCTCTTGACCTGGCCCATCCCTCCGAATCTGGCAGTCGAGGGCTCTTCCACTGTCCCGACCCGACGCGGGGGCGGTGGGGCCAGGGTGGCGCTGTGAGGGGCGGAGCCCAGAGGGGTGGCCCCCGGCGCCTGGATAAGAGCGCAGCGGGAGGCTGGCTGGGGCCCGCGCGGTTCGGGGCGGTGGCCCTGCGATGTCGCTAGTGTTGCTGAGCTTGGTTGCGCTGTTTTGTGGTGTGGTGTCCCCGGAGCCGGTAAGCCCCCGTCCGCGCCTCTTTCCTGCTTTTCCTGCCCTCGAGCCGGGACCCTGAAGTTGGCCCATTGGCCAGCTCACGCCTCTTCAAGGCTTTCGCGAAGGGCCCCTAGAGAGGACAAGTCTGCACCCCAGGGGCAGCCCGGCTTGTCCCCACCAGTCGGCACCGGGGTTCAGGCAACATGAGTCAGGGGCACAGGAATCAGACAGACCCCGGCTCAAATGTCACCCTATGTTCTTAATCCAGTCAATTATGCTCACTGAACCTCAGTGTCCTCCTCTATAAAACAAAGGGTAATACCCAATTCACCAGAGTCTAGTGAGGAACAGGGAAGGCATGCAAGGCACAGCAAAGAGCCCAGTACATAGCAGGTGCTCAATATTGTTCTGCTTGGGGTCTTGCAGTCTGCCCACTTTTTGAGGGCATAAGAACTACTTTTCTATTACCACTCACCTTCTTTTTTTTTGTCATGTTGATTCAAGTTGTGCTGGGGTGCCTTACCCCTGGAGCTGATAAGTCCAGAACTCTCCTTCATGAGTTCCTTTCTCCCCTGGTACCTTGAAGAGCTGAGGAAATCTGTCACTAAAGACGAAAAAGCTCATTGGCAAAATAGTATTTGAAATTATATCCCTACCTTTTTAGCACAGCATATAACATAAAAGCCTGGTGGTTACTTATTGATGGTTATGGAAAGACAGATTTCATTCATGTGCCCTGATGTCTTCAGCCAGGATCCTTGCTGCACCTGTCTCTCAATTTGGCACCCCCTTGGCCTTTTTCATTAGAGGAAGAATTCACTGGCTTTGCAATAGTTGCTATCAGGCCAACAGTTCGAACTCTTAAAGTTTAGAGCTGTTGCTTTGCTTCTTCCTACAGTTGATCTCATCAGCCTTTTCACAGAAATCAGCTCCTGTTGTGGTGGCTTATTTGTTTTTAAAAGTGTTTCCTGATATCCCTTGGAGTTCAGCTTCAAAAAGACAAAGGTGAAGGACAATTTCACCTAAATCCAGATTACTGTAACCGTCAAGTCTTGCCTTCTGTCTTACAAGGTGTTTGGAAATGTTGAGGCTGAGAGGGATCAGCTTCCAGAGCTGGTGGACTTACCACATTAAGTCTTGTCACTAATACTTGCTACTACCTATAAGGTCCAATATTTTATTCCAAAACCAAAGTATTGTATTTTCTAATTAAAAAACATGAGTAGTTTACTCCAAACTATTTAGTACTGGCCTTCCTTGGACACTGATGATACATATTTTTTTAAAAGTTATTTTAAAAAGATAACATGCAATCACAGTTGCTTTATGATTTTATAAATAGCTTAGGTAAGTCAATCTTTTTGTATTCGAAGAAGAATTTTTTTTTTTTTTTTTAAAGAACCTGGGGAAGGTACCATGAAATGCAGTTATGGCTTTCTTCTGTTCATCTTCTTAGCACAGCCAGTCCTTAACCTGGGGGAAAACAAGCAAGCAAACAAACAAACAAACAAAACTCTAGATGGCCCTGAAAACCTATGGTTAAACATTAGAGTGTGAAGGAGTTTTTCATGAAGGTCCAGAGGCAACACCTCTAGTTGAGAAGTGACCCGATAAGCAGGCTTAAGGATCTAGTATACTAATGGCTGATCTATGGTCCATCATAGCCTACAATGGGGGACCTTAGTTGACCCCAAACTGTGAAGTGGACCGGCTCGGCTTTTGCTTGAGTATTCTTCACTTCTATATGCATTTAAAGAAAAAGGATGGCATTTTGACTAATGTGGCTTGTGGTTTTCTGGCATTCAGCATGATCCTTGGTTTCTTTCTCTCTTGCAGGTGATTCAGTGTGGCTCAGAAAATGGTAGGTGCACTAGGGAATGGGTATTTGAGGCTTTATGTTGACATTGAAAGCACAGTTGGACTTTTACAGGCCTGAATCCAGGTAGTGGGTCACCGGAGACCAAGCTTAGGGTAAACCACTGCTTTGTTAGCTGATGCACATGAAACCTTCCTCTGCCTGAGGCAGAGCTCCCAGGTGTTTCAGGTGGGGTGGCTTCCTGGCCAGTAAGACAGTAAAAGGGGCAGAGACAGGGCAAGAATGGCTGTGCAAGGTAGAAAGTGAAGTCTGCCTCTCCTGGGAGGGAGATCAAGTGGGATGGGAAGGAGGCCGCTTACACTCAGAAACAGGAAGCAAGTGTTTTAGGGGAGTGTTTGAGATCATAGCATTTGAAGACTGGGTGGACTTCTGCCCAAGAAATGTGGATGAAGAGGGTGAGCAGGAGGAGAGATGGCAGTGGCAAAGTTTAGGAGGTAGGAAAGGGGAGTTATATGGGCCAGCCTGCTAGAGTCCAGGCTGAGGCATGGGGAAGGCAGGACTGAGCCTACTAAACATGCTAAATACACTAAACACATACAATACCCACACATACCCACAGAGCACCTGGAGTGGTCCCAAGTGCTCTGTAGGTTGGGGCCAGGAGGTTGAGCATCACCCCTCTGTAAGTCAGTCAACACTGAGAAAGCACTGGCCTGCCTCAGCAGGAAGGGAGATGGGTTGTGAATGAGGGTTGGATCAGGGTAGGTCACTTAGAGGAGATGACAGATGACTTGAGGAATTGGGCCAAGGAGAGACATGTCATGGGCAGTCTTACCTTCTCCAAGGACCATCTCCAGAGTGGATGGTCAGCCACACTCTGACCCCAGGAGACTTGGGGGACCTTCGAGTGGAACCTGTTAAAACCACTGTTGCAACGGAGGACTATTCAATTGTGATGAACATAAGCTGGATACTCCGGGCAGATGGTAAGTTTGCATCATTGAAAGTTAAGGCCTAAAACAGAAATGTGCAGAGTATACGATTCATTAATTTTATTCCTAGACATATACCCAGAAGAATATATCCATACATGCACCCAAAACCACATGCTAGAATGTTCATAATAGCATTATTCACAACAGCCAAAAATGGAAAGCACTCAAATGCCTGACTAGAATTGGAGTCACAGAATGGAATCCAATACAGCAATGAGCATGAACAATCTGTAATGTTACACAATATGGAAGAATCTCACAAATCCAAGAAGCCAGATTCAAAAGAATTACTGCATTCATATCTGCATGTTTGCCTACAGTCATACATACCATATGATTCCATTAATTAAAAATGTAAAACAAGCAAAACTACTCTAAGCACTTAGGAGTCAGGATAGTTGTTCTGTTGGGGTGGGAGTGACTGAAAGGAAGCACAAGGGACACTCCTGGGTGTTTCTCGACCTGGGTACTGGCTGCATGAGTGTGCACACTCATTGGGTGGAACACTTCTGATATGTGTACTTCTCTGTATATAAGGTTATACCGCATGGAAGAAGACAGGATAAGGCCAGAGATGATTCCCCCAAATTGAGGAAAAGCACTGGATGGTGAACACACAATGCAATATACAGATGAGGCATTACAGAATAGTATACTTGAAACCTATATAATTTTATTAACCAATGTTACCCCAATAAATTAAACAAAAATATATTTTAAAAAGGAAAAGCACTGGCTTAGATAGATTACTCTTTCCACCTTCCAGTGGCATTGTGGAAGTCCTGGCATTCCTTCAAGGCAGCTTGTGTGTTCTTTTGATTAACCAATTCTGCGAGCCTGAAGCTCATGTCTGTGGTTTCCACCTGCTAAATTCAGTTAAATTCCATCTGGTCAGGAATCTGGGAGTGCCAGGCACAGAGAGGTGAGTCAGCTACAGACACAGACACAGGGACAGTGTTGGGAATCCCACAAGGAGCTGCGTGTGGATGGGAGCGGGCAGGAGAAGGAGGGGGCCGTGGTGAGACCACTGCAATTAGATGAAGCAATAAAGCTTTTGGCTCCATACCTATCAGAGCCAGCCCTTGTATTTGTTAACTGTTGTTATAGACATGGAGTAAGCCCTAGAGAGGCAGAGAAGAGGAGAGAAGGGCGCTCCAGGGATAAGAATTGGGCATGGATAAAAGTGCAGTCAGTACAGTCATGGTTTGGTGATGACATTCTGGAGGGTTTTTACTTCTACAGAGACCCAGAATAGTGCAGCGCTCAAGTCACCTTTGCACGTATCCTGTGAAACTCAGGTTCATTTGTCAGGAGGAAAGAGCTTGGGCTTTGGAATCTGAATCCATATTCTGCCCCTGCTCGTACACCAGTACCACTGACCTGTGGCCATGGGGACTTTTGTATGCTCAGGCACACCTCCCTAAAATTCCCTAAGCCTCACTTACCCAATCAATAAGCTGGGGGCAATAATGGTGCCTACCCTTCAGGGATGTTGTGAATATGAAATGAGATGAGGCGTATACGCTCTTAGCCTCAAGTCAGTCACATAGTAGGTGTGAAATAAATTGCTCTCTTGTCTATCTTGTTAGCCAGCATTCATTTGTTGAAGGCCACCAAGATCTGTGTGACAGGCAAAAGCAACTTCCAGTCCTACAGCTGCGTGAGGTGCAATTACACAGAGGCCTTCCAGACTCAGACCAGACCCGCTGGTGGCAAAGTAAGCTTTTTGGGGAACTTGGTTAATTGTCATTAAAGCTGGGAAGGCCTTTTGCTTGGGGATATGGGTGATGTGCTATATACACAGGCTGGTGAGCAGCTATACCTTCAACCTAGAGCACCATGCCTGGGTTCAAAGCCCAGTTTTGGACACTTCTCTGCTGTCTGCCTTGGGCAAGTCAGCATCTCTTGGCCTCATTTTCGCCATCAGCAGAATGAGGGGAGCTGAACTTAAATCATATATCCTGGCTCTAAAATTTTACACTTCTCTGATTCTGTGAGTTACACTGAAAATTGTGTGCAGTCCATTCCTTAAGTAGATACTGGCTAGAGACCTAGGTTTCGGCAGTAGTTTGAGGAATGAAACTATAAATGAAAAGGGCAACACAAAAGTATTATGTTTCTGCATCGCATTGTTTCAGAAATCAGGAGATCCTTGCTTTGCCTTTCAGTGGAAATTTTCCTACACTGGCTTTCCTGTAGAGTTGAACACACTCTATTTCATTGGGGCCCATAATATCCCCAATGCAAATATGAATGAAGACAGCCCCTCCTTGTCTGTGAATTTCACCTCACCAGGTAAACTTCCTCACTCTTCTGTCTTGCTGGGATGCTTGCTTGGGGTATATGGTTTGATACAGAGAGGCCAAGGTACCCTGGACAAGGCGTTTGGCCTCATCAAGTCTTGGAATAAACACACACAATAGTAACTGTACCTCACAGAGTGGAGGAGGAGTAAACTTAGGAAAGAGACCATTTCTGTGTGTCAGGCACTGCGCTGAGCACTTGACATGCATCATGTCACTTATTAAGCCTCTAACAACTCCCAGGTTGGGACAGCCCTGTTTTACGGGTGAAGAAATTTCTCACATAATGGCCTGGGTTACACACATAGTAAAAGAGAAGCTGATATTCAATCCCTGGTCCTTCTTGGCCCATGGTCTTTGGCCACTCTGTCATTGATGCAAAACGTTTGTCCCAGTCTTGGCTTGCGAACATGCTGTGTTGTTTGAGAGCACGCTCCTCGGTCTCTGAGGATGTACAGCCACCAGTAGCCTCATCCCCAAACTGTCGGTGAGAGGCAGTGTGGCACTGAGTTGAATGTCGGATTCTTTCTCCTGCTCTATGACACACAATCAGGTCTTTAGTGTCACACTTGCAATGTCACACAGGCTGTGGTGAGGATGAGACAGAATCATGTGTGAAGGGCCCAGCATGGTGTCTGGCTGCAGCGGTTCCCCCACAGCCTCCATTTGAGATGGGTCACCTGTTTTCTACCTCATGCCTGTTCTCTGTCTCAGGTGAATTTCCAAATGGGCAAATTTCCAGTCGTTGGTCTTTGAGGTTGTGGTCCAGGGTGGCGTTGGTGCCATACCATTTACGACACAGCAATTTCCAGAGTTCTTGATGAAACCAAACCTCACTTTTAAAAATATAAATGTTTTTGTTTTGGGATAATTTTAGATTTATAGAAAAGTTGCCATGATAGAAGAGTTTCCATATACTCCTCACCCAGTTTCCCTTATCATCAACATCTCATATTACTATGAGACATTTGTCACAACTAAGAAAACAACATTTGTACATTTCTGTTAACTAAGCTCCAGACTTTATTTGGATTTCACCTGCTTTTTCATTAATGTCCTCTTTCTGTTCTAGTCGCATTTCATCTGTTGTGTCTCCTTTGTCTCCTCTGGTCTGTGACAGCTCTTTAGTCCTCCTTTGTTCGTCACGACCTTGGCAGTCTTGAGAAGCACTGGCCAGGCATCCAGAGGAACGTCCCCGAGTCTGAGTACACTGCAGGGGTGAGGCGCCCTTCCCATGGCACCCTGTCGGGGCGGTTGATGTGCACACACCATGGTCACTTGTAAAAGCGGCATCTGCCAGGGTTCCACATATAAATCTACTGTTTCCCCTTCCCAGGGCTAGTTTTTGGAAACAAGTCACTAAGTCTACCACCCTGGGGTGGGAGTGTGGGGTGGATTAAGCTCCACCTCCTAGAAGGGGCTGTATTTACACATATAACCAAACCTCATCTTAAAGGACACTTTGAATCTTCTCCTGGGGATCACAGATCCTGCTGTGATAAAGACCATATTGCAATTAGACTCTGGTTACCAGGTCATGGGTAGATAATCTTCTGTTTAACAGTAGAATGTCAGTGTCCCATTTAAATCTGCTATCTTACCTCACGTCTTGATTGTTCTGGCAATTCTATGGGTGTGGTGAGCATATATCTGTGTGTGTACTTGTTGACAAGGGGTGGAGCAGAGATACCTTTTCTAAAATGTAAAAACTTTCATTCAAATTTCCAGGCTGCCTAGACCATGTAATGAAATACAAAAAAATGTGCATCAAGGCAGGTAAGTAAATACAGCATTTGCTTTTGTTATTTGAAGAAACTCATAATATGAGCCAGCACAGCTCCACCCATCTTCCATGAAGAAACTGAGATCGAGTTGCTCAGAAGGCTGATCCTGCCAAGAGCTTTGCCCACTGAATCAAGCATCCAGTTTGTCCAGGGAAGGACAGACCCTAAGTGGGTTTTAGTGGTGAGCAACACCGCAGAAAAATGCCCTACCCCAGTGGCTGAACCAACTTTCTAGCTCAAAATGCATTGATGGTGGTGCTGAGGGAAGGCTGTTCCTGACTGGAGGGGGAGATCCGTAACTCCTCCCACCTGCTCATATGCCAGTACCACTGACCTGTGACCATGGGGGCCCTGAGAACCTTCTGTTTGGATTAATCACCATTCAAGGTGGGAGTGTTAGCTGAAGTGGTGACTCAGCAGCATGTTCTCAACCTGTGCCCTCACAGGGATCATCTCTTACATGCTAGGCTACTAGAATCTGCCCAACCCTTTGAATTTTGAAATCAGACCCTTCAGGACAAACAGTCCCAAGTGTTGAATTTCCAAGGATTGTACAAGGACTTCTGTAAATTCCTGGGTAATATAGTCTTAGGATGGTGAAGAAGTTAGAAGTATTTGGGGGAATGGGTCCCCATCTTTTAGGCACCCCCATCCCACAAGGCATGCCTGTGTACCCTGTTAGACTGAGCTGCACGTGGTCTCCTTGTTGGCAGACTTGGAGTATTGTGCTGAGAGTATGGGGGACCATGGTGATGTGAAGAGGCCTGGGGGCCTTCAGTCAGTCCCATAGCTGCTCCTAAAGACCACCTGGGCTAGGGCCGGAAATGGCCTCCTAGATGGGGAACACAATGCATGCTATTATATATTAACTTCCTGGAAATGAACCTAGTGCTGATTTGCAAGTCATATGAGTGAACAACACTGGCTTTTTCTCACAGAGTAAACCTGTCAGGGTATCCTATGAGACATTTCCTTATTCTTCACATCCAGGAAAGCTGGCAGAGTGATCTGAAGGATGAAGCTCTTAGAACCCAGGATGTTCTAGTAGTTATAGTCCTGATCCTGCATTCACTTGCTCTGTAGTCTTCGACAAGTCCTGAACCTGTGGCTTGTCCTCTCCATCCTGGAAACTAGAAAGTACTGATCCAAGCCCTTAAATCAAATGGACACCGAGAACAGAAGTCAGCAGCAGGACCCAATCTACTTCCCACCACCCTCAGCCCAGGGAAGCAAAGCAATGACTTGGGGTCCTTAAACTTGGGCAGAAGCTACTTTGAGATTCTGGGAGCAATGACAAATAAAAAGTACACTGTGTAGTATAGTCTGTATCTCTTGGATGTGTGCCTGGGAACTTGTATTTGTTTTTGTCAAGCCCTTTGGGGGACTTAAATGATAGATGAGTTTGCAACTTCATCTGTGTGATTCTCTCTCAACTGATAGGAAGTCTCTGGGATCCAAACATCACTGCTTGTAAGAAGGACGAGAAGACAGTAGAAGTAAATTTTACAACCAGTCCCCTTGGAAACAAATACAGGGCTGTTATCCAAAATAACTTTTCAATTGCAACTTCTGAGTTGGAGGTACTTTTTCCCTTCATTTCCTCAATACCACCCCATCTTCAACCTCCAGCTTCCCTAACCTTGATGAAGAAAAACATGGGCACTCCAGGACCCCCTGGATAGGCTCTCTTTTGCGAGATCACAGGCAGAACTGTCTGCTGTCCAGACATGCTGGGCAATTTTGATTAATTCAACAGGGAAAAACCAGTCCCTGGGGGCATCACTGGAAATGTCTCTGTGAATCTAAGGTGAAACACAGGTAGGGGGCAAGAAGTATGAAACAAGTCTGCATTCATAGGGTCTAATGAATTGAGAGTCATTTTGGGAAGAGTGGTTTCTTCATTGGCAGTTATTGATCTACTCACTTACAGGGCTCCTAACTCTTGATTTTGTCTCACTTAGTTAGTACAGAGCGAATCAACTCGAGCTTCCATCATAGTTCCAGTGACTGAGGGAAGTGAAGGTGCTGTGGTCCAGGTAAAGTTCAGTGAGGAGCTTTGGAGAGGGGAAGACTGATTTTTCCACAGTTAATGGCTTTTGATGAGTCCTTTCAAAACTGGAATAGGTGAGATCTCTCCTCCTGTTCACTTCTGCCGGCAGTCTCGCGTTAAGTGATGTCAATGGGAAATCCTTGTCTTGGTTTTCACAGTGGTGAGGTGAGGAAGCTGACCTTACAGTTACGGTGTCTTATGCTTTTATTAGCGGCTGCTGACTTTCCAAAGTGTTTCTATTTCCATTTTCTGTCACAAAGCCTATGAGCAATTCTAAGAGTAATTCTAAGACGGGAGTACCATTTTATTTTCCTAAGCTTCAGTTTTAAAAAAAAAAACCTTTTAAAGATTTTATTTAGACAGAGGGGAAGGGAGGGAGAAAGAGAAGGAAATATCAATGTGTGGCTTCCCCTTGTGTCCCCCTCCTGGGGACCTGGCCTGCAACCCAGGCATGTGTCCTGACTGGGAATTGAACCAGCAACCCTTTGGTTTGCAGGCCGGCACTCAATCCACTGAGCCATACCAGCCAGGGGCAATTCCCACTGTAAAATGAAGTAACAAACAATGTGAAATGTGAAGGCTTCGGTTCCTGATTAGCGTATGCCCTTTGAAGGGCAACTGCCTGTCCTCACAGGGGCTCAATTTACTCAGGTGGAAAATAGGATTTTGAGCCCTGGATGGTGTGGCTCAGTTGGTTGGAGCATCATCCCAATCTGGGTGCGTATAATCCCTAATCTGGGTGCGTGTGGGAGAGAACCAAAAGATGTTTCTCTCTCACATAGGTGTTTCTTTCTCTCTCTCTTCCTCTCTCTCTAAAAGCAATGGAAAAAAAAAAAAGTCCTTGAGTGAGGATTACATTACAAAAAAAAAAAAAAAAAAAAATTGGAAGTTGGAAGTTGGACTATCAGATGCTCTCTGGTTCCATTCAAATCTGAGTTTATGATGTGAGCCATGGAGGGTCTCAGTGAGACACGGCCTCACCCAAGATATAAGGAGCTTCTCCTTTTCATTCTCTGGAACATAAAGGCAGTGCCTTGCTGTGCCAGATGCATGTCTGTCCCCTTCTCTGGGGAACCAGACTTTCCTAGTCCCAGGGCACTTTCATGTCATAAAGCACGACTTTATAGGAGCTCTACTGTTGTTTGTTCTTATGAGGAAATATTTGTATGTACATAGTGTGACCTAATCTGTTTAGATATGGAAACTAACACATTACCAACATTTAGTTTAGATTCAGACCTCAGGAGACTTAGAAGTTGCTTCAGTCTAGGGTCACTGGTTTGGACTCTAGGGCTTTATCACTGAAATGTGACCAAGGGAAAAAAGTGTCCTATGCAAGAGGAGGGGGCAGGGTTGAAACCAGGAAAAAAAAAGGGAAGAGAAGTTTTGGTGGAAGTAGGAATAATGCTGAGATTTTGTTCTAAAGTGTGGTGGGAACTTTCTGATCCTCTTTTTTCCTCAGTTAGTTCCATATTTCCACTCCTGTGGCAGTGACTGTATCCGTCGCAAAGGAACGGTTATGCTTTGCCCACAAACAAGTGACCCCTTCCCTCTGGATAACAGTAAGTACCCAGTCATTGTCGCAGGCTGATCAAAGAGGTTCAGGGCACGAAGGGCCCACTGTCAGCATCCCCCATTCAATATGTGACAGGGTGTAGGTGGGGATGTGACAGAGTCCCCGCCTGTGTATGCTGAACTGCGGTGCAGGGAAAGATGTCAGAGCCGAATAAGAATAAAGCTATATTTATAAAATTGCCTTGTGGTCCTTTATGAAGCAGGATATACACAAGAAGAGGAAAAAATAAACAGTGCAGAATGGATGTTTAAGTGCCAACTGCCACAAGGATCTGCTGGAAAAAGTCAAGAGCATAAAAGGACTGAGTTTCTAAGGGAACATGCACTTCACTACATTTTTAGTATCTTATCAGTCTGAGTGGCCCAGACCTAACTGTTGCTATAACCTGATGGGGTCAGATGGCCAACATTTGGATAACAAATTAGTGTACTGGCACCAAAGACACGCCTCACTGGTGCCTGAGAGCTGCATGTTCTGGAAAATGTGTCTCTGGATTTGTAGATGTTATTACTTCCACTTACAGATGGACAAATAAAATGTTCTGGAATTAGCCCAGGGATGGGGCAAAAACTTGGAAGGTGTTATTTTTAGAAACTCCAACTGATGACAACCCAGGTGCCTAACAGTCCTGACTCTCTGTGGGCGCAGTGCCTGCGGGTCCCTGAGCCCATCGGTGCCAGAGCTGACCTGATCTTTGACATTCCGTGAGGGGGTGGCATTATCCTCCCCATTTCCAGTCTTACAAAACAGCCTTTAAAAATGCCATCTATGTGTACTATGTATTAAGTAATTGCACGCAGAATAACATTAATTTGTCAAAGAACAAAAAAAAAAAAAAAGAAAAAGAAAAAAAGTAAACTCTGGTTACATTAGTATAAATATGGAGTATGAAGCCAAAGTGACGTTAAAGTCCTATTCTTAATCTCCTCCCATATCTCTTTTGAAAATCTAAGAAAATACCTGGACACTGTAGAAAAACACACCATTCTGCAGACTCCTTACAGATCTATTGACCCTTGGTTTTAAAGGGGTCTGAACTTCTGCAAAAAGAGCAAAAATCTTAGTTTCCAAATAGGAGGTAATTTGGTTGTTTTGCTGAAGGTAAATAAGCTTTGTTTTCTCCAGGCAGAAGTGTGCTGAGTGGCTGGATACCTCTCCTCCTCCTGGCTCTGCTGGTGGCCACATGGATGCTGGTGGTTGGGATCTATCTAAAGCAGAGGCGTGGTAAGGGTTATGATGCCGTGCTTTGAAGAAACCTGTATGAAGAAATGACTTTGAATGTTTTTGAAGGAGATTCCTCTAGAGGTAATCACGTTTTGGCGCTGGACAGGAGTCAGATAGCATTTATTTAATGCCTCAGAGATCTTCTAAAAGACTGATATACTAACCAGATCACATCTGCTAAGGTAAAGCAGGGATCGGGACCTCCAGATCTGGTGGCTATCATCTGTTTTATTTTTACTATTGAGCCATGGACAGCTACTGAAATGGGCAAAGATAACTAATAAGGAATGGCAGTGTACCTGTGATAGGTACTCTCTGCTAGTTCCTACTTTTTAAAAATAATTCTTACAAGACATAAGAACAACAGTTACTTGGACTCATATAACCTAAGGACTTGCCAACATTAAAACACTGAGGACTGGCTCTAGAAGCCAGAGTCTGTAGATAGCCGGCTAGAGGGTGGCACACTGGAAGCCTCTGCCTCTCCTCTTCTCCACATGAAAAAAAAAGAAAACGACAGCCTGTGAGTCTCTGTGATGGTGTAGATAGAACAAGATTAATTTCATGATCTAAACTAAGAAAGCCATGTAGAACTTTGACCTTGGGAATACTTGTACTTGGAAGATGTGTGGCTTGTATTAGTTACAGCACTTTCAAAGGTAGCTTCTGTTCAACAGCTCACACAGGGCAGCTTTCTAATTAAGTTCCAGCTGAAATGGGCACCACTAACCTTACGGAATGATGATAAAGAAACTCTACCACCTGCAGGTAGAAAGTGGAACTACTACCGAGTTGACCCAACTCCAAATGTGAAGGGTAGTGGTCAGGTTGTTCCTGTTTACATACGTATGGTACTTTTTAAAAACACTCAAGTTACAACAACCCACCTAACACTGAACAATTCCTATGAATTTACCTGAAAAGGTGTGGCTTAAGAGAACTGATTTAGTGATAAGGACTTAGAAAATACAGCTTTTACAACCCCTTTTCAGTGAAAGCCTGCCTTTTGCTGTTCATAGATAACAAATGCTTTCTCTCTCCACAGGAAGGATCAAGACTTCCTTCCCCACTACCATGTTACTGCCCTCCATTAAGGTTCTTGTGGTTTATCCATCTGAAATATGTTTCCATCACACGGTTTGCTACTTCACTGAATTTCTTCAAAACCATTGCAGAAGTGAGGTTATCCTCGACAAGTGGCAGAAAAAGAAAATAGCTGAGATGGGTCCCGTGCAGTGGCTTACCACTCAGAAGAAAGCAGCAGATAAAATCATTTTCCTTCTTTCCAATGATGTCAACACCGTATGTGATGGTACCTGTGGCAAGAGCGAGGGCAGCCCCCATGAGAAATCCCAAGACTTGTTCCCCCTTGCCTTTAACCTCTTCTGCAGTGATCTAAGAAGCCAGATTCATGTGCCCAAGTACATGGTAGTTTATTTTAAAGAGGCTGATATCAAAGACAGTTACAATGCCCTCAATGTCTGCCCCAAGTACCGCCTCATGAAGGATGCTACCGCTTTCTGCACAGAACTTCTCCATGCTGAGAAGCCCATGTCAGCGCAGAAAAGGTTGCGAGCCTACCACAACAGCTGCTCCTTCGTGTAGCCCACCTATGAGAAATGAGAACTTGAAGGCTTCCTACCCCTCCAATTAGAAAAACTTCTGTGATGATTCTGAAGTTTATTGTATGGGCTACTTGTACGGAGGATCTTATGTATATACCCGCTTTAGCAAAAGGAGTAAGGAGGACTCATAATTACATGTACACCTTTGTCTAATTACATTTTTATGCTAGTACTTACAAATATTACTAACTACTGTAGTATTAACTAGAGAATGTAAACTAAATTTATACTTAAAAAGCTAAATCACTTTCATAACTAAAAATCAATTGTTATAAAGCTGTTAGCTGTTCTGACAATGCAATGAGAAAGCATCTTCCAGCTGAATGTCTGGTCTTTAATTATCCGTGCCTTGTAGGTATAACTGTTTACCTCTGTAACATTCTAAGTGTAATGAATGACAAATTTAATAAGCCCTTGCTTTTCACTCAATAACTTCTTAGGTAAAAACCCTCTGTTACACACAGTTTTTTTTTTTTAAATATAACAAAACTATAACTCATCTTTCCTCATCAAATGACCTAGTATATGTGTAACTACTTGTATTATTTGGTATTTTCATAGGACCTTCCCTCTCTGAACTAAGTTAATGTCGCTTGTACAGGTCACTTTAACATGAACATGAATACACTTGCAGAACTGCTGTCTACTTCTGCCCAGTTACCTATTAGAGGTCACTGTCAGGGTTCAGAGTTTCTTTGGTTATTACGTTAACTTTTTGTGTTTAGAACAAAAATAATAATTTGTATTATGTTGGAAGACAGCTCTTTTGAAGTAATTAATCTTATAAATGAGTTATTATAATGGCTTAAGTAAAAAAATAAATAAAAAAATAACCTATCGCAGAGTTACAGAACACGAGTTATGTGGTATTTTAAATCTTCCAACTTTGTTTAAAAGCATCTTTTTCTTATTTTAGGTCACCAACACACACACACGTATTTTCCTAGGAATGCCTGTCCTTTCACACACTGCAATACTCAGTCTGCTCTAGAATGTGGCCCAGTTTCAGGTAGGTGACTGCTAAAATGTATTTGTGGATTATTCTTAAAGAGCCATGCCACTCTACACGTCTTAAGTATAAAATAAAAGCAAAAATAAATAAGCACAGAATGAAATCTCAGTGTCCAGCTTCACCAGTAGATACTTAGTAATTAGGCAATATGTTTAATGCGGTAAAGGTCACATTTGTCAAGATCAGTCTTTATGGTACTTAAAGTGCTGGTAACAGAAGATGGACATGGGTTATGTCAAAACTTGGACCAGAAGCCACTTCCTCTGAATCAACATCTACCAGTTAAAAGAGCAATATGCTACTACATGAAAAACTATTAAAAACAGAAATACATTATGCTTTTGGAACTAGGTAGCCAACACTAAATTGTGTTGAAACAGCTTAGAAATATAAAAAGAAAATCAATATTGTATAAATTTATTGTTAAAAATTTCTTAAAGAATATACAATTTTCAAATTGAAGACATACATTCCAAATAGTAGTAGCCAAGTTAAATTTTGTTATACTGGTAGATTTTCCCTTGTTCCTAACCTACAGGGCAGATACATAGGTTACTCCTATTAATGCAAAATGCTCCACTACCAGCATTGCTCCATGTCCTAAGACTTGTTACCACTCTTATTCCATATTCCACTCCTATCTCCACACTTAACTGTGCCTACGTTTGTCTTTCCCCTAGTCCCACCTCTAGTTCTTGACAGAGAGATAAAGGAATCAAGGGCAAGAGACTGGCGGAGAAACCAGGTATCTCCTGATCCTCCCAGGTCTCGGAGCCCCAGGTTGTGTTCCTGTCTCTAGGCAATGCCTTCTCTTCCTCTGGCCAGGGCCTCAGAAGGCTTCACTAAGGCACAGATGACTGGTAGTAATAGCTATCTGTATTATTTACACTTTGTTTCAGACTGCTCACAGATTAAGGACATTAGATCATACTGAACACAAAGAACTCCAAATGCTTTCCCTGGGTTCTTCAGGTGAAGGGAAACTTGGGGGCTTTATGATTAAGTTAGCAGAAATTGTAACTATTGCTTTGCTTATCTATACAACACATGCTAACAGCTCTAAATTATACTGAATCATTTCTTTTTGGCTTTAGGAAGGAAACAAATTTTCCTTTTCTGCTTTTATTGTTTTGGTCAAGTAACGACTTTTCTTTTTGCAAGACTACCCTCAAAGCATGTTGGGTAATGAAAGCCAGTCAGCCAAGTCTTAAACCTCTGCCTTGAAAAATCTAGATTTGAATGGGTCCCCATCATTTCTGTAATCCAACAGAAAATACTTAAAAAAAAAAAGACATAACTCTTTTTCCTATTTGGAAGTCCAAAAGCAAGAGTCACGTCCTATGTACTTGCTATTCCAGACAAAAGGGAAAATATCATGACCATACAGCACTTAGAAATCAGGATCCCAAATCACACACCCACCCCCTCATGGTTGCAGAAGACTGTCTCATGACACTCAAAAGTCAGCTTAAATGAAGAGCTTCACCACCTGACAACTGCTCAACCATCTTCCATCACCGAGGAGTTTTTAAGATCCTGAGATGGGGCAGGAAAGCTTACCACATTCTTTCTCAAATGTCTTGACTACAGAGGCAACTTGTAATTTCATACCAACATCATGTTCTCAACATAAGAGTTAGAATTCATTTATTTTCCATGAAACTGAAGCATCCAGGTCAATAAATTCAAAAATACATATTCTGTAAAGTCTTTTAAATCAAGAGGCTTGTTGTGGGTCTTCTTCAAGAGTGACTTTTTCCTGCCCATTTCACCATACAAAGGCAGCTCGCTCTCGTAACATGCGGACACCAAAGCGCTGCCATTCTCGCTGATAGATCCACAGTTCCTGTGTTGTATCCAAACAAGCCAGCACTGCCCCTCCTTTCCATGCAATCAGCCGGGGGTCCATGTCCTAGAGCAGCAATACCGATATGTCAGCACAAGCAGACAAGACATGCACTTAACCATTCATTTGAATTTAGGGGTGGAAAAAAATCCTGCTGAGTCAAGAATAAGCCAGATTTTCAACCTATGCAAGACTCATGAACTTACATTACAGGTGTTTTTGTTTCAACTGACAAGAGAACTTCTCAGTTTTTATTACTGAAGCTGCTACTGTTCATTAGTATTACACAGTCACCCCTGAAGGCAGTACATATGTAAGGGAATAACTTACTCTGAAGTTTGAGTAGAATAAATATATCTCACAATCTCTCCCTCAGGACTAAAATTAAGAACATTCCTAGGAATTGCCAATGAGATATAATGAAATATAGGCACAATCTGTTTCTAAATTCCTAGGTTTGTATTTCAAGACAGCTCAGGCCTAAGAGATTCTTAAAGATCACCTGGTCCAGAGGCCAGCAGCAGCTCCTTAATATGGGAGGGCTAATCCTGCAGTTGTTTTGGCTGATGGTGTGCCCCCTGTCCGTCTTCTCCTTGCCCCACCATCCTTCTACAAAAGGAGTCAGTCCCGCTAGCCTTGGAGAGCACAGCAGGGACCAAAACCCAGGAACCCAGTCCCCTCATCCAGAGCTCCTTTCCCCACATCTGTGTGACGTGCTGTAAGTAAATAATTCCACTTGCCCCAAATCCTCAAGAACTCCCAGACACAAGCCCCTGACTTCCAGGATTTCATTTGTCCACATACATTAGAATCAGAAATAATCAATGCTGGTTTCATTTGCATAGAGGTCACCTTGCACCATGAACAACATACCTTAGGCCTTGTGATCACTTCCACATTTTCAATAATTCGCCTGAATGAAGGTGGCATTTTGTTGAGAATTCTGTGCTGCAGAAATTCTTGTGCTTTATGAAACATCAAACCACCTCCCACCACCAGGATGGAGCTGTACATCTTCTTTTTGGTATCATCAGATGCTGCAAAGACAGTGAAAGCCCTTCCAAGCTTTTTCTCCACATGCACCGCAACCCTAGGCCAAGCCACCATCATCTTTTACTTGGGTAACGGCAAGAGCCTTCTGAAGGCCCTCTCTCCGACCCCTCAACAAGGCAGCCATAGGAACCTTGCAGAACGCAAACGTGAGCAGGTTGTTGCCCCACCCTGCTACTTTCAGCATGACCAAAGTCTCTAAGGGGGCCTGAAAAGGCCAGTGGGGTGTGTATTCACTCCTCTAGCTTCATCCTCAAAGCCCGTGCCCCAGCCACTCTGGCCCTCACACAGCCTCTGCCCCAGCCTGGAATGCCACCCACCCGTGACTGGCTAACTGCCACTCACTGCCCAGATCTCTCAAGTGGCTCTGCCTCATGGAAGCCTCCTCTTTCACCCTCCACAACTCCTGATATGGAGTAAAAACCCTTCATTTAACCCCTCAATCAGTATTGTTTCGTTCAATTTTGTTGCACCTGCCACAGTTATCCTTTCACATTTGTGTGATCATGTGACTTCTTTTGGTTTCCTCCCACAAGGCCAGGAACCAATCCCCATCACCCAAGAATACGGGCACAAGGTAGGTGCTCGACTGGTTTTGAATGAGTATGCCATGCAGCACTGCACAACCATACCCTAGCTTGAGCCAATGCATTTAACTGCTGTCTGCCAGCTTCCCCAATGTGCTTACAACAGCAGTCTATGCTATGAAGGATGGCTTTATCCAGGCCCAGGGCTTTCCCTTCGAACAGCGAGATGGCAGTCTTCCTTGACATCAGAGCGGTGAGGGCCTCCTCAGAGTCATTGCCAGCCATCAGACAGTCTCCCTGGGAGGGTCCCAAATCCACCTCCTGGGAATGGAGTCTTTCTGGAAGATCAGAGGACTGCCCACGAAGATCCCCTTCAAATCCAATGGGTTTGGATGCAGACTTTCGGTCAGCAGTAGCTTTTGCAGACTATCAATGAAAAGGACAATCAAGTAGGTGGTATGATTATAACAGAACACTGTCAATGTTCCCCAGCTAGACCTCCTGCCACTATACTAGGGAGTCCCCCTTGTAGTACAGGTTTCCGCTGCTAGGGGAGTGTTCCAGGAACCCATCTGTATCAGTGTAGAGTTGGTATTATTTTAAGAGGCTGCATTCAGCTTCAATGGACTTTTTTTGAAGACTCTTTCAATACGTTTGCCCATTTCGTGATGGGTGATTTATGAGTTATCTGCTCACACCATGCTGACTGTTCAGCAGTTTTTGACAAAAGAAGTGGCATGACCCCACGATTCACCCGATCTCGCCCTGAGCGACCTTCTTTGTTTCCCTGATGGAAAAAATCCTCAAATGGAAATGTTTTGTCCATGTGGATGTGGAAAAAGTGGAAAAAAAAAAAAGGCAGAAGCACAAAAAGGCAAGCAGCACAAAAAAGGCATCAAAACTGATGAGTTCAAAAACTGTTTTGAGCAGTAGAAGTAAGTCTCCGTAGGTGTATTGCATCAAATGGAGACTACTCTGAAGGTGACTGACATTTAAACAATACACACACAATTTTTTATAAATAAATCCTGGTTTTTGGGGTCCCCCACTCATACACTACTGTAAATGAAGGTCTGAGGAGATAACCTTCCCCTGCAAAAAACCCCAAATGAAGGCCTGTTGCTGTGGTGCAGAGCAGAGGTACAGAATATACAGCGAAGCACTTGGGAGAGATGATGGGACAGGAGGAGAGAATGCACTATGACAATTCCAAAGGGGTCACTGGAAGGTAGGGCGGGTCTCAGAATGCTACTATTACAGGTTGGAATTTAAATTGAGATGTCAGTGTAGACAAGCATTTCTTCTCTTGAACTGACCTATTAAGTGGAGCATTTTAATGGAATTCTTGGGCCCGTGACTGTTACGAAATCCTCATTTTCAGACCTTTTCTAACCACTCTGTGCTCACCTTTGGGACAGGTATGAGGACTAGAAAAGGCATACAGCTCTCTTCCCTCCACCATGAGCTGCTGTTTCATCAGCAGAGAATAGCTTGCCCCTGCATCAGACATCCTACTGGCATTGGACAAAGAAATTCAGCTCTTTGCCTATGCCACATACCTCTCATACATTATAATTAAATATAGGTGAGATTTTCCTGAAAATATTTACTATGGATAAATATTCAAAAGTAACTCCATTAATTTAACCTTTAAATGTGTGGACTGGTATTCTGAGAATTGGATGAATGCCTGTGGAACAAAAAAATCTGTCATCCAGATTTTAAACTTAGACTTCGTTTCATCTACAGTTCTAAAAACAGTATCAGCTTTAGTATGCTGTCAGATGGCAGTGACTGCAACGATCCAATAGTTATGGGCAACTTCTGCAGGGGTAACGCTTCCCCTCACACCAGAATCCCTGCAGACCTGTTCCTGCTTGCTCTGTGTGGCCAGCAGGTAATGTTCGTCATGAGGATCCTCAGGGTCACCCTGGGATCTGTGCTGCAGAGTCGTCATTTTTTGTCCAACGATTCCAAAGGTTGCTGGATAAAACAAAGCCATTGGAGCCTGTGCATGAAGGGAGAAGAATCATCAACCTGGGATACAGCCTCTTAAAAAAATTGACCCGTTAAATTTCTTCCAAAAAACAAAACTGGCAGATTAGATCCTAAAAGTCAGACTGTGTAGTGTTCTTTTCAGAGGGAATAGCATTGTTTTTTCAGTGCAGATAAGCCAGAAAACTCACTTATCATCCAACTGAAGTGTGAGAGGACACCATAGATTCTCAAAGTAAGTGTAGAGTACGTAGTAATTTACTTTAATAATTACCCAATAATAATGGAGCCTCTCTCTTTAAATGACTAATTACAAAGTGGCTATTACAAAATTAAATTATGTAATTACATAATGACTAATTACAAAGATGGTCCTCAGATCTGTTCTAATCTGGCTTAGTGAATAATCTACAACCAGTTCACATTCTGACCTCATGAAGTTTCCAGCAAGTAAACAGTCTCTCCGTCTGAGCCTGGCTGGCTTTCTTTCTTCTCATGAAAATATACACCCATATGTTACCTGGAGTTTTTCATCTCCTAATCGAAACTGGTAAAGCAGGGCAGGGGAATCTGGATGTCGAATCTGAAACTCATGGTCCTGAAGCCCAGAGATGTCCTGATTCCAGGAAAAGATGCTGTCAGTGAATCAGTAAAAGTGCATGTAAACTCTTCAAATCACAAGTAAGCCTCCCGGCCAGCTAAACCTCACCCATAAAAAGTCTGCCCTACAACTTTCTATCACACCCACTAAAACTTAGTAAGAGTTCAATGTTAACTTGCTTTCTTTTTAACATTCGTTAAATTTCCACAATCCGCATTTTTTGTTTGCTTCATTATCAATAAATATTAATACAATGACTGATATCAATATGCAAATGCTCTCAATAACTGAGGAATGTTACTTAGTCTTGTATTTCTTGAATTTTTTTATTCAGAACTATACTATTTGAAAAGGTAAAAAAAAAAAAAGATCTAAAACAGAGTATAGAAAGGTAGCAATTCAGACACAGCAATGGTTAAATGCTGACTGTTCATAATACTAAGAAAGCACTTCAAACGATGCCATTTTATTAAATGTCTATGCATATATATTACGTGCTACTATTCATCACACCTAAAGGTTTATCTTCAATCTTTATTGGAATGATCAGAGCCTACAGAGAGATATTTGCTAAACACTCTTTAAAAAAAAAAAAAAAAAAAAAAAAAAAAAAAGGTTTTTTTCCAGAGCCAGAGACACATCTACACAGCTCTGACCTTACCTAAAAACCCACATTCCTTAAGGGTTTCAGCTTCAAGGCTTTATCAGCTTATGTTGAAAGGGTATCATGATATTGTTAAATTTTTCCTGAAAACAGTCAATTTTGATTTTGCTCCCACCTGATCTAAATGGCAAAAAGTTTCTTTTAGGTGCTGCAGAAGAAGGCAATCCATTTTATTTGTTAACTGGCATTCTCTGTAAGGGAATCCAGCTCGCTGCATCAGCCAGTAAAAACATCTTGATACATCAGATCCTCCATATGCCAGACAGAGTCTAGAGTTAAGACAAAGAACAGATGGGTAATACATTGGTTAAGAAAGTGCAAAAAGTGATTCAAAAACTCAGGCACAGTGAAACAGCAAGTTTCAAGACATGTTTGTTGTAGGAATAAATTAAAGAAAGAACAGATGGAGGGATGGGAGGAAGAAAGGGAACTCTAGAATAAACCAGTGGTAAGGCACTGAGAAGCAGTCATGCTGTCTGAAAAACAAATCCAAGAAACAGAAAAAAATATCCAAGAAACAGAAAACACACTATTAAATCCAGCTCATTTCCAAGTCAACATGTTTACCATTTGGCAGTTGTTTGTCTATGTATATCCTCTAGCATATGAAGGTGACACCATAAGACAAACTTATGGGAAAAATCTGAGAGGATACTATCCACTAATTGAACATGTCTGCAATTTGGAAAGACCACTGCTATATTATTTTAGTGGTTGGAGACCCGAATCCAGTGTTTTCTCCCTACCTTGAAAACCACTGGCATTAGACAATATAAACAATGGGTGAGCCAAAATAACTCATTCTGGGTTGTAGAATGTGTTGTAACTTGGAATTAATCTTTCTCATGGACTTCTTGGGACCTCTTTTAAATTTGTTTCTATACTCTAAGATTCAAACTACCTAATGTAAGGGACACGAAGAATTAAAGCATCCAGAAGAAGTCATCCTGGGAGAGCAAAATGCTGCCGAGGGGCCACATGTACTCTACCTGAGTGTGCTTACCTAGGGCTTGTCTCAGGTAGGACAAACAGCAAATCTGCTCCTGATAGTTACTTTATTAACTCATCTATCAGTGGTAACAGACACTTGACCACCATCAAGTTACTCACTGAACATCATTTATAACAAGAAAGGCAAATACTTGAAATGCTAGCTAGCTAGAGAACTCAAATCTGAAAACCTATTTTCTTCTACACGACTTGCCAAAATTCAGCTTTGTTGTGAGTGATCGGTATCTCTAGGCCAGCCCCTACAGCAAAAGACACAGAGCTAACCTATACGCTTCCTCTGTGGGACAACACAGTGCACTCCCGGACTTTCAGGAGCTGCTGATGAGAATTTACATTAGAAAGTTCCAAAGGAAAGGGTAAAATCAGTTGTTTATAGCCTTGCCAGAATTTATACTTCCACAATCTTGCTGGTGTCTTATGCAAAATTTGAATACATAATTCCTTGTAAGTAATTTCTTTCTAACTTGTGATGCTTTATAGTTGGGTGGACCATGAGGGCAGAAGGAGGGGGAATGACAACTCCCAAATCTCTTACCGAGTATTCCGATGCGAGACTCCATCCTCCACACAGCATACACTTGTCTTCTGGTCCCCAACATCTACAATACATGTGCTGCTTAAACCACTTCCAAAAGTGGCACACACAGACTCCTGATGGACCACAATTCCTAAAACACGAGAGGTAGGAGAGCAATCAGAAGAGGAGAAAGGGCTCTCCTAAGACAAATAATCAACTAAAGTCTAGGAACCTCTGGAGAAATATTCATGCACTGCTAACCCTCTTAAATAAGCATTTTAATAAAGGAGTGAATTAGATTAACTTTGTCAGTAAAAAAGAACAAGATTCTCATTTCAAGTAGGTTTCATTGGAATATCAGACATACCTGAAAACCCCATCTTCATTAGGATCATATTCACTAATTCTTTCACATGCTGTTTATTATAGATATCAGGGATTAACAAGATACATCTGTAATACTATGGAGAAGAACAAAGAAAAAATGATTAAATGGTTAACACTAAAGTCAGGCCAAAATAAATTTCATACTCTCTAAAGCTGTAGCAGCAATAGTGAGAGGCCCAGAATAAAAGCTCAAATTTCTCGGCTATCTTTTGGGTTTTATGAAAAAATAGAAAATGTTGACATTTTTTCTTTTTCTTTGAATTACTTCCCACTTGTGAAATAAAAAATAAAACAACTGATGTGTCTGAAAAAGGTCCAGAGAGAAGGCATAAACATGAGCACTTGCTGCCTGCAGAGCGGGAGAGAGAGACAGCAAAGAAACAAACAGGATAGGAAAAAGAGAAAGCATTAAAGGAGAATTCAGTGAAGAAAAGATATCCTCAACACCTAAGGCCGAGAATGCTTCAAAGACTCTGTATTATAAACAACTCAGTCATGTGTACTTTTATTGACCAAGATTCTTAAAGACTAGAAGACTAACGATTTAAAGACTAAATTCCCAAGTAATTGGGAATTACTTGGGAATTTGAGCTCACCTTTAAGTCTTTCAATGGAATTTCCAAGTACTTTTGTATTGCATGAGACCATATTACTTCAATATCTGCCAGAACAGCTGTGAGGGAGCCCCCAGGTCCTGGGTGAATGTTTAACTGACCTCTTCTAATAGGCCAGTGAATATTGTAACAGTCCAAAGGATTAACATACAAGGCCTAGAAAAGACGGGGAGATGAATGTTGTTAAAACTCTTCTCTCAGGGTTTTCTGGATTTAAGCTCAAAACTCTAAAGCTAGAAATTATCATTAACTCTAGCTGAATGTTCTCAATGTTAAGGGTGGAATGTATAATACTTCAGTAGCCAGTCTGACTATCTGGTTCTCAAAGTAGTATTACAGAATGCTTGGAAACTATAACTGGATGGCAAAGTAAATGAATTTTGGCATTATGATCAGGTTTTCTTCTTGCATTTCATTGTAAAGAAGTTTCCTACCTCTTCTCCTACCAAAAACTCAGGGTGATGAGATGTGTTTGTCCATTTATTTCCAGAACAGTGATCTAAAATTGCAGGTCGTATCTGCTTGTTGTAGGAGCGTGCCTGAAACAAAAGCACATCACAAATTCTCTGAATTTATGCAAGGAATAAAAAGGGGTGAGTCCAGCAGGAGACCTCTTTTCTCCTCTCCCAGAGATCAGATACAGTGGCAAATTTTAATCACAAAGCCAAGGTATTTGGGGAAATACTGACTAGTAACAAAAGGATTCTCTTGCCCTTTTCCACAACCTTGATTTTTTCTGTGATTTTTAACACTTAGAGCTGTGATTCCCAGCCAGCTGAAAGTTAATACTGCACTCTACCTAAAGCTGAATATAAATTTACATTAACTCACAGCTATTCCTAACTGTATTGGTTTATCACATTAAAATAACAAATGTGGTAAGAATATAGCTTTCCACCCAAGTCCTGGAATTACACACTTAAGACTCTCAAGTAAACTGTCAATTTTATCAACTTGTGGTAAGAAACACATTATAAATTATTTGGCTCGCCTAAGCATTTGTGACACTGATTCCGGTATTCCATAGGTAGTTATGAATGGTTTTCCTTCCTTTTTAAAGAAAATCTCTTCTTGCACTTGCATAATGAAATAGGTAGAGCACATGAACAGCACTATGATATAATAGCTGTGCTAAAAGAGTAAATCTGAAGAGTAGAGACCGAACCTGTTCAGGGGACACAGGAATCCGTCTTGTACCATTTGACATCTTTTTAGACCATATCGCTTGATCCACCATTTTAAGGCCATTTTGTCTTTGTTCATTACTTTCAGGTTTCTAGGAAAACAGAATTAAAGATGAGCTGTACAAAGGACTTGGTGAAAGGGGAAGGCAATCAGGCAAACTACTGATTTAATGCAGCAATGGGAAATGTTCCCTTGTCAACAGATAGTATTTCCTTAATCTCTAACATATGTATTAATCTTCAGAATCCAAAGTAATTTTTTTTATGATTTATAAATTTAAAAAGTCACAAAAGAACCCTCACTATAAACTACATATTTGAAAAAAATCTGTAACTTTGAGTGACTTGGGTTCATAAAGAAATTTCATAGTACTAATCAGAGCACAGCTACTTTTACATTTACAAAGTATTTCAGAGATGCTCTCATACTTACATCATTTTCATGTTTACAATTTTATAACAAAGTTATATTCCTTCGTGTGTTCTTTTGTTTAATCAACAAGTGTTCAAGTTATTTTGGTACTGTAAAAAACATATCCATAAGTTTTTATGAGAAATGTTATTTTACTTATTTTCAATTTTTATTCTCTAAAGTAGAATTATAAGAATTAAAAAATGGAACCCCAAGGTTTACTATCAGAATTACAGAGAATGCAAGTTCCTTAAAACTATCCTTGATTTAAAATTAATATACCTATTTAATACCTATCACAAAAAGTTTTTCATTTGCAAAACTGGATAAAGTAAATGTTTACTGTGAAGAAGCACATTTTTTTGCCTTTAAATTATGATTTGACCTAAGATTATAAATAAGTGCTTATTGTAGCAATTCAATTTGCTTATGAAGTGAATATATAAGTTCATTTTAAACTCTAAGTATCTGGAAGGGAAAATATAGCTGTTACTTAATAGCGACCAGGAGGCATCATTTTAAGTGAGTGATAATTCTGCACCTTCCATTAAAAATCATGTTCATAAATACCCAGTTCATCCTGATGGGGTAGAAAAATTAAATGTACTTTTATTACAATTATTTACTTACAATCTAAAATTGCTAGCTCAGATGAAAAATGATATTTATTAACCCTGAATAATGCTATTATTATTATTATTTTTAAAAATAATTTATTTTTATTTATTTTTAGAGAGAGGGGAAGGGAAGGAGATAGAGAGGGAGAGAAGCATCAATGTCTGAGAGAAACATTTATCGGTTGCCTCTTGCACACACCCAACTGGGAACCTAGACAGCAACCCAGGCATATGCCCTGACCAGGAATCAAACGGGCGACCTTTTGGTTCACAGGCCATCACTCAATCCATTGAGCCACAACCAGCCAGGGCTGATGCTTTTATTTAAAAACACAAAGCTATGACGATGTTTATTCAAGATGATTGCATATACTTGCAGGTCTAAACCTTCCCAAGGAAACAATCTTGGGCTTTCTTTCTAGATCCTTCATTTCCAACTTACATTTAGCCCCTCCCTTAGAAGCCAGTTGTCCTTGTATAGGGGCTGCCCTTGTTGTTTGTGTCTTCGTGCAATAACATGAGGAATGCTGGCAGGAAGTGTGTCTGTGGCTCGACCAATCCTTAAAGTTGTTGAACCTGGATGTATGACAACAATGAAGTTGCTCTGGATTTGCTGCAAATATAAAACAGGAGTGTGACCTTAGTAAGTAATATGCAGGTAAAAAGTTAAATAACATAGGTAACAGGATTGACTAGAATGTTAGTTTCCAGTAATGGTCATCATACCCAAAAGTATCAAAATAACTCAGTAAAGGGAGTTGTTTGAGAAGCATCCAATTACTGCTCTCCAACTGAATACAAACTCACTTTATAGTTCTGTCCCGGCAGGATCTAACTCACAGTAACGGAGTGCTGAGTTCCCTAAATTGCAATCACCTAAAGATAGTTGTTAAAAAAGACCCTAAGTTCTCACTTCAAATTCTGTAACTCAGAATCTCCAAAGAGAGCCTAGGAATTCGCATTTCCCTAAAGCTCCTGAGGTGACTGGCATGACCGCTCAGTTTTAAACACCCTGGCTGGACAGCTAAGGGAAGACATTAATGTAAGGGTACAATTATTACTTTGCAATACTGGAAAGTAAGGCTTTATATACCAACCACTTCCAAATGTGTACACAAACTATATTTTGGTTACTTTTTAAAAACACACTACACTTTACTGTTGTTGATTCTGTGCTATTTACCTAATCTGGCAAGAGACTGGGGATGAAAAACCAGAGGTCACAATTCTTTCCTCATAAATCAGAAAACTTTGCTGCACTTCACAATCCATTCTTGGGAGAGGATGAACAAGGACTGATAAAGACGTGCAAATCAGGACAGCGGATGATGGCAAACTTCACTTTGAGATGTTAACTGTTTTAGATCTGAAATTATCAAGGGGGCAGAATATAATCTGAATCACTTGGGGGACCCTTACCATGTAAACCTGTTGAGGGATCCACAGTTTCAGGTGGGAGCAGGGGAAGGAAAAAGGGACTCTGACAATCTCTTTGACAACAGGATCCCTTTGTTAAGAACCACTAGGCCAGCCTGACTCCTTAGCTAGCACCTACTCTGTCCTGTGCTTGAAGCTACAGTTGGTCTTCTTGGCATGTTTCTATTTAAAATATTTCAGTACTTTGCCAATAGATAAAGTCCAGACCTCCAAGAGCAAGGTCCTGCCTACTCCTACTTCTCTAGCCTTAGTCTAAAACCACTTCCTTTTTGGTAAGTACATCCCACATACCATTTCCTGGATATCATTGTTTAAGATGAGATAGTGTTAACAGTACAGGTGCCATAGAGGCCATGGAAAAACCAAAGAGTGTAATACAATTGACTGAACTTAAGGAAATGTTGCTATAGTGATTAAGGATCCAGGCTCTGGATTCATACACCTGGCTTCAAATTCAGACTGTGCCACTTCCTTGCTCTGGATGAAGACCCTACCTCATAGAATAATTGTGAAGATTAAACAAGTTAATAACCAATCACAGGCTCAGAGGTCTAGCTCTACCAAAGGTCTCTACTGCCTTCAGAAGTGCCCAGCCAGACTCTCTGGCTTTTGTGACCTTGATGATATGGCCCCTGCTAAGATCTCCAGTCTTATCTGTTGCTTCCTTTTCTCCCGATTCCATACATCCTTATCTCCAACACTTCATATCCTCTTAGCACAGTTCTCTTCCACACTATGCTCTTCCTCCCTGAGATTTCGCTTTTTCCCTAGCAAACTCTTAAATCCTTCAGATCTTAGCCCAGATGTCGCCTCCTCTGAAAAAACCATCCCAGACCATTGGGGCTGGAGGAAGTACCTGCTCTGTGCCTAACACTTCCTTTTGGTCCTCTCCACTAGCTGATCCCACACCATTTCTGATAGGAGAGGCCCCATCCCAGCACTCCTTCCAGCCTCCCCCTCAGAGTGGGAGAATCCTAGAAGGTGGGAACCAGCAAGCCCTTACAGAACATTCCGTCTGCCCCCTCAACTAGGTAAGTGGCGAAAATGACCCCTGTGCAACAGTAATAACCACCTGGAGGGCTTACCATGTGCCAAGCACTGTGGTGTGTATTTTACAGCTGCCTGGCAAGATGGGCAAACACTTAACATGTCTACCAGCAAGGAACCTACCTCAGAGATGCCCAACAAGAAATTCCGAGCATTTAAATACCTCCTGATTTCTTTTGTGAATTTTACATTACCTTTGCCCATTTTTCAAAGGGAACGCTGGAATTTTCTTCACTGAGTACTCGTAATATTATATATAAAGGCCCTCTGCCTGCCATGTATTGCAAATAATTTTTCTGGTATGACTTAATCTTGTTTTTGACACACACGCACCCAAGTCTATTTAGACAAATGTCTACCTTTTTATTCCACTACCTGAGATTTCCTTAACAAAAAGAAAGGCATGAACCTCTCTCCCTTATCAAGTATCCGCAGATACGCCCAGTGAGCCAGGCCCAGTGCTAAACTCTACGTGCCACCACTAAAACCTCACATATTTGGGAGGTAGGTGAGAGCCCTTCCCTTGTTTCAAACCCGGGGCAGCTGGGGGCTCCCACAGTTGGGGCTGGACTGTAGGGACGTAGTCCTAACTCGGACAACCAAGGGCTCAACAACGCGGGAGGGAACGAGCAACCCCTACACCACGCATGATCCGAAGCCTTCTGTCGGCCTCAGACTTCCTCCCCAGACTGGACTCCCGAGGTCCAAGGCAAGGGTGCAGGGCCCTCACCAAGCTCCACCCCCCAGCACCTAACCTCCTGCAGCGACTCCGGCACCAGCGCAGGAACGATGGGCCGCTTCACGCCGCGCTGCTCCTTTTCTTTCTCCCCGCCCTTCTCCTTCCCATTCTCCGCGTCTCCCTTCTCCGCCTGGGTCATCGTGCCCGCAGACCTCTGCGAGCCTGGACCCTCCGCGCACCGCAAGCTCAGGAACAGAAAGCCCCCGGCGCAGGCGCAGTTTCCCAGCTGGCTGCCCACAGTCAAGATGGCCGACGGAGAGTCGAGCCAGAGAATTCCGGAAATGGAGGGGCGGAACTATCCGCTGGCGGTCAGGTTTGGGGGAATGCAGAAGCGTGTGGATTAAATGGATGTTGCTGCGGTTGGTCTTGGCCATAGCACGCCAACAATATCAGGTACTTTTTAAGTGCTTTTGATGGACCAGCCAATAACCAGCATCTCTTTTCGTCCTCACATCTGTCTCTCCTGAATTCCCAGACACCTTACATGGATTAGTTCTTTTTTCACTGGTCCTGCTCAGTCCAGCCTGATGTTAGGGTTCTCTGGTGCTAGGTCTCCTCTTTACACACTTCTTGGATGACTTTACCCAGTTTCATAGCTTTAAAGATGAAGATAACTCCCAAATATACACTTCCCGCGTGGACCTCTCCCTGAGATCCACATTGATATATTTGGTGTCTCCCCATGGATGTTGACAAGGCATTGCAAATTTGTGTCCAAAACGGAACTCTTTATGAACCCTCACTTGTAGGATCTCAGTAAATGTCATGTTGATACCATCTCCATACTTACAAATGGATATTAAAATGCTTTTATCTCAACACTTTCGTTTCAAAGGCTGTTAAAACACTGGAAGTAGCATTATCTGTATTATTCATTCTGATAATAAATATTTCAGTGTCTATTACATGTTGTCACTGTTTAAAGTATAGGTGTAAAGAACAAAATCTCTAATTTCATAGAGCTTCCATTCTGGTGAAAGAATGTGAGTTACCAGCATTCAGATGGGGATTAAAGACAAAACAATTTATATTTCATATTTGTCAAGATAGCTTTTAAGTCCACCTATTTACATTTTGTAGCTCAGTTTTGTCGGTTATGGCTTTATAAATACCCTCGTGGTTATATATGGCAGTAAATCAAACACCTTGTATTAAAGATCATGGGACAAATATGTTTCAAAATAAAAATTAAAAAAACACAGACATACGCATATACTGAAATAAATATGTGATTTATTTATAAGTGAGAACAAATTAACAATGAACACTTTCAGAAGTTGAAAAAGGTGACACTAACAGTACTAAGTACACAGCCTTTTAATTTTCTTCAAATTCAGAGTTTTAATTATATAAAGATGAGAAGTCACTTTTGTAACCTAAAAATATTTACTTATTAAATCTATAGTAATACTTTCATAAACTATACAAAAAGTTAATGAGACAAACATGTGCATTTATAGAACTACATGTCAGTCATGCCAGATCCTTGCAAGGGAATTCCCAACACGACCTCATTCGTCTGTGAGGACACAGAGTAATTCTTGTTTAGACATACACATTCATCTACTTGTCCAGTATGGTCAGCCCTCCACTGCTCGATCGTTTCCTTCTGTTATGAATGTGTATGTCCAGTTGTCTGCTCCTTAGAGCAGACATTTACCTGAAAGAAAATGTTACAATAATTAGTTGCTAGTTATTTAGATCTGTATGAAAAAAAATTGAAAAATTACAAGTTATAAACATTTTTCAAAAGACATTTTGATAATAAAGCCAGTGGGGTTTTCAAGGATTAGGATAGAAATATTTTTCCAAGTAATGTCTGAGTAATTCAAAATGCCAGGCAACTTCTGTTTTCCTAAAGACCTTGCTAAGAAAGCATTTACAAAATAAAATTCCTACAGAATAATTTCAGATTTTAAGTTACCTTCCTCATCCACCAGCCATTGGAGGAGGACTGGGACCACGCAGATGATTAATTCGACCCATTCTTCTGGGGGGGTTTCCTGGGGGCCTAATAAAAGAAAAACTTAATTTCTACTGTTTGGTAGACATCTTCAATTGGTTCCTTTTATACTCAAATAGACCCTCTCCTTTATTTAAAAATACCATTTAGGTAAAAAATCCAAACCTTTACAGGGACCAGACACATAAAGCCCATGGAGGAAAGTGAGTCAGGCAGGACTGTGATGAACTGAATACCACCTCTTGTAAATGCCCAACTAAAACCCTATTCTATCTGATTCTTGCCACATGGAAACACAAACATAACTCATTCTACTTGATTTTTTTGGGTTTTTCATTAGCAGTTGGAAATCTAGAGTCTAAAGTGAAACCTCTAGATTTCAACGATGGCTCTCAGTTTTCATCCTCTAATTTAGATATTTCCCATAGGATATATGATGTACATTTTTAGCTTTGCCAGGTTGACAGTAGTTATCAAATCAGAGGCAACTTAATTTATAGTAATGTATTAATTTTGTGAAATAGAATTTAAACCTTTAATTTCCATGAGCCTTTCTGCTTATCTATCTAATTTAATTAAAATCTACAGAGGGGTAAAATCATCAACTTAAAAAGCTATACCCTCTTCCATCATCATATCTGGAATCAGATGAGTTTCCGTAGCCTCTTTTCTTTTTCACATCTTGCTGAAGCAGAGTTTTGAAACTGAAACAAGGGGCAGAAAACAACAGAAGAACCACTTTCAACATTTTAAAATGCATTTCATGGTTTCAACTATCATATCTGGTGAGAGAACAGCTGAGCTGATTTAGCTCCAGACCCACATTTCTCGCAACCATCTGGACAACAGCAAAAGCAAGCACATGTCTAAACAGAGTGTGCTATGTTCTGTGGCAGAGCTGCCCTTCCTTATCTTTCTTATTTGCTGACAACTCTCCTAGACAGTCATCCCAGCTTTCCTCCTCTACGTCAGCTGTCAGGCCCCAACAGCCTACCTCACTAACATCACCTTGGAGAGGGAGGGGCTGAAGGTGGTGTAACAGAGGAACAGGCCTTCTGGGAATCCATTTTAGTGAAATTTTATTTGTGAAGGAGGAAGAATTTAACTAAGTTAAAACAGTATTTTAATGAACAATATGGAATAGGTAAAATTTGTAAAACTGTAAAGGAGTTCTGCACTGGATAACTTAACTTCAAGCCTATCTTGTCGCCTGTTGTATTTTTCTTTGGAGCTGTCTGTCTCATTTTACCTTTTCTAATTTATGTCACATGCAGCCATCAGATTAATCTTTTAAACCACAGCAATAATCAAATTAAGTATAAAGATCACAGACTGATATTCAAACGTCTCAACTACCTTTCCTGTGTTTCTTCCACCTGGAATAACTTCCTCTGATGTCCACCTCCCACAATCATGCCCACCCATTGCCCCTTATAGTATAAAGATATTTACTGACAGTAAAGTCAGTAAGAGGACTATCTCCTACATCTCTGCATCCCTACAGTAGTTCTCTACCTATGGACACACAAATATTTATTCAAACTTAGGATAAGACTTATTAGTAATTGATGAACAATTTTCATGAAACAAATAGCAGGTAAAAGACCAAAAAAATGCATTTAACTAAGAACTGCTTAAAATTGTGGTGAAGTTTGAATTTTTGTCTCCTCTGTATTGATTCTAGCCCTTCATTAAAAAAAAACAAAAACAAAAAACACCAACACTTTTTTAAATCAAGATCTAATTCCCCTTGTTTACTTGCTGTATAATACTCAGTAAAATGCGCACATATACACTAAAGGTGGGAATAATAGAAAGCGAGGCACTGTCATTTGGCATTAGAATGGGCAGGCATGGATCCACAGCTGCAGGCTGGTATGATTACCACCAAGACTAAGGTATGGTCAAGCTTACCAACCTAACTATCATATTTGTAATCATAAGATGTCCGGTGACAGCTTTATCACTACGTAAGTCTTCATTTCCCTTAGTAAAGCTGTTAATTTAAAAAAATTAAAATTAAAAACTGCTCAGGAAAGCTGAGCTTGTTTAAGATAGGCAAAATAATGCACCTAATGTACTTCTGTCACCTTAAGTATCAGGGCTATTAAGAGCACTACTATACTTACAACAAAACCACAAATTCAGCTATTCCCCAGAAGAAATCTGTTATCAAAGATAATCTCCATGGGGACTGACTCCGGCTGTCCAACACTTGTCCTATAGACAAGAAAAAAGAAAAACTTATTTAGTACCGCAAATCCCTGACACAAGATGCATTATCTTTAATCAGGTAACAATCCCAGATTCAGTTTTCAACTTGCTCATTGTTCCAAATAGTCAACAAAAAGGATAGATCTGTTATGTGCACATTCTAAGGGAGTGTTATTTAAGTAAAGCTCTGTGATCTAGGGGTCATTCCTTTAATACACCAAATGCTTTCCTAAAGTTTATAATTTTGGTGGGTGATACTTCATTCAAGAATTCTCTCTCTCTTTTCTTTACTGTAGTAAAATATATACAAAAAACCTACCATTTTGATCACTTTGAAGTGTATAGATCTATGACATTAAGTATATTCACACTGTCGTCCAACCATACCACCATTCATCTCCAGAACTTTTTCATCGTTCCCAACTGAAACTCTGTACCCACTAACACTAACTTCCCATTCTCCCCTTTCCCCGAGTCCCCTGTGAACCACCATTCTACTTTTCTGTCTCTATGAATTTGACTGCTCTAGGACCCTCATATGAGGACATACAATATTTGTACTTTGATGAGCAGCTATTTAACTTAGATAATGTCTTTAAGGTTCACACATGTTGTAGCATGCATGAAAAGTTCCTGGTTTTTTCAAAGCTGATTAATATTCCCTTGTGTGTATATATACTGAATTTTATTGATACATTCATCTGTTGGTGGACACTTGGGTTCCTACTATGAAAATGCTGCTATTAACATAGGTGTACAAATATCAGTTTATTCAAGTATTCTGAGGAAACAAATGGATGAATAGAAAAGAATGCTCATATCACTTCCATTTTCCTAAATGTGCCCAAAGTATTTCTTTCCACTTAAAAAGCCTCTTGTTTATACAAAAAGACTGTTTATACATACTCTTACAGGTCTTTAGAATCAGTTATTATGATAAAATTTTTTTAAGTCAAAGAATTGTGTGCTCTAAGTACTGAAGAGAATTTGGCTCTTTCATTAAAATTACCACTATTTTTGTGTAAAAAGCTGTTCATTCTAACAATAGATATCAACTTTATCTTAAGCAAAAAAACCCACAAAAAACAAAAAACAAAAAAACCTATTTTTCAAATTACTTTAAATAATAAAAGCTACAACCTAAAAAGTTAGTACTCTATGGTTTCAGCCTTGCAAATCAAGAAGTCAGAATATTTTGGAAGAGCTGTCTGTCAACAACCTCTCCAATTTCCCAAGGATTTCTCTGTGCTTTTTTTCTTTTCCTCTTTCCTTGACCAGTTCACTTGCAGATATATCTGACACACAGAGCTACTGACTAAAAAAGGCTACACTAAAAGACGGAGCATGGGTGATAGGCTCTGCTTCTTACTAGCTCTGCTTCGTTGGCTGATAGGACATTTTCCTTCTCTAATCATATAAAATTCTTTGGGAAAAAGTCATTTGACAGTTAAGAGAAGTGTTTTGTCAACTATGAAATGCTGATAAATATAGTCCTGCTAAGAAAATAGATCTAACGGGAACCCATCAATTCTTCCTTTAATTCAAAAGAAACTATTGCATGCACTTGCATCATTCTGATTTGCTTTTTGTACTTTCCCTCCTAGTTTCTGAAGGCAGAATCCTCCCCTCCCAACACCTTTAGAGGGAAATAAGTTGCTTGGATGCAACTGGCATTTCTCAACTATAAAAGTGAAATTAAAGGCCTTTGTGTTATTTATGTGGATCAAACATGATTATTCATGCACAATAAGATACTACAAATACAAAGAAACATTCACTAATGCATAAATAGAAGCTGCCAGCCTTAACTACAAAGGAAAAATACAAAGTTTGCAAGTGCCAAAACGAAGATAAAACTTTGATTTGTGTGTGTGTGTCCATCAACCTCCCTGTTTCAAAGAGTTTTTAAGTGGGTGACAGGAGAGTGATATTTTGGAGAGCAAAGAAATGCAAAGTGCACTCTGCCAAAAGACTTCCCATTGACAATCTTAATTATCTCTAAAGATAAAACAGATTATTCAAACAGAACCAGCACCTAGTTCCAGTCATCGGTGAACTACTTGTTAAGCTCGCACCAGGACATTTATTTCATCTGAATCAAACAGGTGGCCAGGCAGTGCTGTCATTGTTCTGACCCAGTCATGTTGTCTTTTCCTTCCACTCATTTTCTTTGTGGAGTCACTGAATTAAGATTTTCTCAGATTCTCTATTCCAGGAAAAATTAACGTGCTCTAGAGGGACTGGTGCTTCTTCCTGTGCCCCTTGAAATCAAGGCAAAAAACTCCACGTATGACCAGCTACTCTCTCCTGCGTAACTAACTCTCTTAGATCAAAGTTGTAGAAAAGCAAAATACATTTTGGTAACAGCAATGACAGCCAGAACGCTTGACGTCAGCCAACCTCAATGCGAATCCGGACTAAGCCATTAACTACCGTTGTCATCCAGGGCAATGTATTTAATCTGCGCCTCAGTCTCCATCCATAAAATAGGGAAAATAAAATATCTTAATAGGGCTGTTACATAAAGACTGGATAAGTTGATAAGCGAATAACGCTAAAACAGTGAGCGAGGCATAAGCGCTATGCAGACGCTGTTAATATTATCACTAGTTAAGGACACAGATGCCCGAGAGACCCGCAATCAGACAGGGAAGCCAGGCACCAACACAGAGGACCATGAAGACCTCGGACCTTGCCCACTCGCTTATGGACGTTCCGCTGACGCGCCGCAGGCCCGCTTCGCCCGGCTACGCGGCACAAAGTCTAGAAAAGCCTTGACAAGCGCCAGGTCCTGTGGGCGGGCGAAGACGGAAGAAACACGACATACGGCCTCCCAGGCCAGCGGTTCCCCCATAGGCCTTCTCCCAACTCACCATTCGAGATGTAAACCATCTTGCTCCTCGTTCCCCGCCTCCGGAGAGACTGAGCGGCCCGACCCCTTCCGACTTCCGTATCTACCTGCACGCCCCACCCCTTAACGTCAAAGACGACACGGTGACGGAAGAGGGAAGTGGACAGAGCCCATTGGCTGAGGGAAGGCACGCCCCCGACTGGCGTTTTTGCTTCGTCACGCCGGCGAATACCGGTAAAGGGAGGCTGACGGGTAGGTGGACCGGATGTGGTGTTTGGTTGCTCTCCTGCAGGCACGGGGTATTCAGTCTCCTTTTGGATTTCAGTTCGCGGGGCGTCCATGTTTCGCCCTCAAGAAGAGAAGCAGCTTTCAAAGTGTCTGACCCAGGGTTAGGGGAGGCAAGTCTTCCAGCGCAGTGGCTTGGAGAACCGTTGGCATAAGGAAGTTGCTTAAAATTTTCCAGAAGCGGTGCTATTTGAGGACGTGGTGGTGCTCAGGCTATAAGGAGCTTTGCTAAGCTTTTGGGAGTAGCAAAGAGGTACCCACTAGGTGTATTGATTCCATTTGTAGGTGAAAAAGGGGCCGCATACTAATCTGACAAGCTCTGGGGAAGCCTGCGTGAGGGACCTTACAGACCAGACCTAAAGTAACTGCCTAGGATTACGGGGGAGGCCCGAGTCAGCGCCCCTTCCTCCCAGCTGGCTCCTGGGTTCGTCTCTCTGGGAAGACATGGATTCAAACGAGACACAAACATGTTTAGTGACAATGAGGTAGGAAGTTTATTTATGAAACACATACCAGTACAAGTCTGTCATCAGCCACGTGGCTAGTCTAAATGCTCCACGTATGGAGGAAATAAAATTGCTAGTAAATTTGTTCTGTACACTTGAGCCGAGGCTACAAGTGGGCACCTGGCTAATCTGAGTATGCTGTCTATTGGGGTTCAGGAGTTAAAGACCGTTGTCAGCTTTTAGGTACCGCTTCCTTCTCCCCCTTCTAAATCTTGAGAATAATGTATAGCTACAAAGGCTTTCTTAGGTAGTAAAGGTGATTCGTCTTAGTCAAATTGCTGCAGCCTCCCCTTCCCAGCAGAGTCTAAGGACTCGCCTCTTCCTCCATTATCCCTGTTTGCAATACTGGGAACACCTGGCAGTCTTATCCGTCCTGCCTCAGGACCGCTAAGTCTACGAATCAGACATGTCTCCCTCCTCCTCCCTACCTCGGTTTATTAACTCCTACAACCAGATAGGATGGTCTGAAATTAAAACTTGTAAGAAAAGTGAGTCACAGCGGGTAGCCGTGTCCTAGGCTGGTATCTTCCTTCAAAAGGTATCTGTACCTTAACTGAGCCTGTTTGCTGTATGTTTGCATCTACAATAGCATACCCTTGGAATGTCAGAGCAATCCTCTTTTTCCAGACTCTTCGGGGCACAATCTCCAAACCTCAGAGACCGCGGAACCTCTCACCGTTCTCTTACTCCCCCGCCCCCACGACCCCACATACAGTCTCTGTGCTCTGTAAATTTAACTACAGTATCCTGTACTCACTAAGCTAAACGAAGTATGTGTCTCTTCCTTTACTTTTTATCCAGACCCTGAGATTTCCCTGCTTTGTTTTCTCCCACCCCTTTATTCTGCCACCAGTGGCTTTCATGTAACTCCCCACCCCCTTTATGTCTCTTCCTGATTCTAATGTATAAAATAAGCAGTAAAACTCCCATTCTCCAGAGCATTTTCTCAATCTGTTGAGATTTTGCATTCTGGCAATTGTCATCAGTTTGGCTCAAATAAACTCATAAAAAATCTCTACAGGTTTGGAGTTTTCTTATGTTGACACATTTTAAACCAATGTTTCTGTTCTTGGTTCACCAGATGTGATTGGTGTTTTTTTATCTGCTCTTGTGAAGCAACTGAAAAATACTGTAGACCTTCTCTGCTTGTTTTTTTATCAATGGCTACTACATGCCAGCATTGTAGAGGTGACAGGAGTAAGAAGCGCGCTGTCATTCATTAAATATGGACCACATACTATGTGCTGATGTGTATTTACTCTGCACCATCCACTGGGTGACTTTCTGTTCCCTGGTCTTGGCAAGCTCCTTGCTGTCTCAGGGCCTTTGTACTTAGATATTCTTTCTGTGTGGAGCCTTCCTAACAGCTGCTGTTGCTGCTCCCGGCCCCCCCTCCCGCCCCCGCCCCCCGCAAGTTCTCATCATGTCTCAGAAGGGTTACTAAATCACTTAACTAAAATGAAAATGAATATTACATTTCAGAAATAATTGTAGTTTGCATATGACAGTGTTGGAAAGAGACCAGAGATTTTAATGCAGTGATTTCCTAATGAACTACCTGTAGCCTCTCTCACTTCTTTTTATGCTACATTTAGCAGCTTGTTTAATCCATCTTGCCTCTTTTCTACTTACACATTTGGTTTCTCCCCACAACCTGTCAAAAAACACCCAGCCTCCATGGCTTGGAGACTATGGAAGGCTTCCCTGATACATTTTCTTAGGTTTATCACCTTTTGATTTCTTAGTAGACTCTTTGTTTTCCTTCCTTATTACTTCTGTTCATTTGCTTCCGTTTGATGGGAATTTTTCCCACCTCCTAAAATCTAACCCATCCTTCAAGGTGAGGCATGTTCCTATCAAATGAAATAATGAATGTGAAAGGACTTTTCGACTTGAAAAAAATATGTAACTAGTAACACAATGGGATTGGGGACAAAGATGACATTTTCCCTCTTTCCCTAATGTAAACTGCATGCTAACGACTAGCCACACGTGGCTGTTGAGCAGTTGAAATGTCACTAATCTGAACTGAGATATGCTGTATACACAAAGTACACACTAGAGTACAAAGATGTAGAATGAAAAAGTAAAATCTCAATTTTTTTATATTGATTACATAGTGAAATAATATTTTGGATATTGGATTAAAATATTAAAAGTAATTTTGTTCATTTCTTTTTCTTACTGTGACTGCTAGGATATTTTAAATTACATACTTGACTCACATTTATGGTTTACATTACATTTCTTTTGGACACTGCAGGTCTAAAATGAAAACATTGGCCTGTCAGAAAAGGCAGTCAGTAAATATCTGTTGATTGGATGGTTGGATGGATGGATAGATGAATGAATGTTCTCAATAGTGGATAATAGGGTTTATTATGTGTTAGGCACTGTTCTAAGCACTTTTTACTTGTTAGTTTATTTACTCCTTACAACAACAACAACAACAGTAGTTGAAAATTATATAGCACTTACCTTGTACCAGGAAATGTTCTAAGTGTTTTTTAGTGTTAATTTAAACCTCAACCTTATTAACTGGGTTCTATTATTCTCATTGTACAGACGAGGAAATTGAGTCACAAAGTGGTCAAGTGACCTACCCAAGGCAATATAGCTAGTAAGCAGAATTGAGATTAAGACCTAAGAGTTTGGCTCTACAGTTTGTGCTGTTAACTCCAGTGCCTCTCCACATATAAGCAGAGGTATTAAAATAGAGGGTATAATCCAATGTGGTACTTAACAGTATAGAATAGAAGGTGGGTTCTGGAGACTGTTGGAATGTATCTCAGTTTTCTCAGGTGCAAAATAGCTTCTCACATTTTTTTCTTTCTTACATATCCTAAGCATAAGATTCCCCTAAACATCTGGTTAAAAAGAAATAACAGACCCAAAAATGGAACCACTTTTGCTAAGACCCATCAAAACTTAATGTCTAAACTAATTGTAGTTTCAGCCTTTCCCAAGAGTGGAATTTTAAACCATTCAGTCTGGAATTTTCTGGTCAACACTGGTGAGGTAATCTGCCTAAAAAGACCCTTTGCTTTCTCCCACACTTCTAGTTACTAGATGGGGTGTTGCCCAATTCATGAATCCCTTAATAAAGGCAATTAGATCTTCAAATTTACTTCATTGAGTTTTATTCATTCACAATCTCTAAATGGATTATCTTCCCACCTCTGCACCAGTTCCTTGGCCACAGGGATGGGTGATTCTGAGTGATAGCTATTTCTGGAGCTGGAGCTAGAGGCAGTACCACTTAAGTGAACCACATAGCTTGAAAGTTAGACAGGGGTAGTGTTAACAAGATGGTAATTACATCAGAACAGTAAGATGCCCTCAATATTGCCTTTAGGGAGTATTAAGAAACAGGTGGAACTTATATTCTTTATTAACCTTTTATGTGTGTGTTCTTACAGTTACTATCTTTGTATTCCTTATTTCATCTGGGCTCAGCAATCTTAGCTCTTTAATTACCTCATTTTTCTACCTTACTCTCTTTATTGGTGCTTTTCACAGTAACTTCTATTTTTTTGTATTGATTTTAAGTTATACAGCCTCAGACTGGACATGCTGTGCAAACTGGGCTTTTTTGAGCCAATAAACACCTCATTCCTTCAGCTGAACTGATGGTTGTATTGCTCTACCAATCACTTTCTTACACTACTTGAACTCATTTTCTTCATCAAAATGGGAAAGTGTTTATAAAAATTCATAGTGCTCTCTTCCTGGGAGAATTTGGTTGACTAAGAAGTTCAGGATTTCTTCTGCGCTTTCTAAGATATATCACAAAGTAAGTTAATTATCAGTTTTATTAGTGAGCCCATGTGATTAAATTTAAACAGCCTAAATGAATAAGGAATATCTAGATTCAATATTGTGGTTCCATTATGTGAAGAGAAACACTATTCCAATTATAATTCCTAATCTTTTAGACTCATCCCAATTTTAGCAATCTTGGGAACTGTAATGGAAACTGTTATAGTGATAAATGGAAGGGAATACTTGTCCAGATTTGTAAAGTAAAGCCATCAGATATTTAAGTATTAATTGCCTTCTATCCTAGAGGCATTGACTGATTGTTAAAAGCAAATTTTTAATATTTTTAGAATTATAGTCTATAGTCCAAAAAAGTATTTCTTTCTAAGCCTTACCTCTAGATCCCTAAAATGGAATAAAGAAATATAACAGGTATACAGTCTATTACTGTGTTTATAATTCTCAAACATTGACTTTTATATTTTGAAAAATTATAGATATGTGTTAATTATTTTTAAGGAACATATGATTTTATTATTCACTAAATGGAGCAAAGCGTTTT